CAGTCAATCTGCCTTTTTTTCTTCTGATTTCCTCATTCTTTTTTCTTTGGTTGCAAGAATATGACACATAAAGAACCGTCTGGTCCATAGAGTTTGTAATGACTGAAACGACACCAATTACTAACCCTTACCATATATTTAATCGTTCCTTGATATTTGATATCATGTTGCATACGTGAATTGAGTTGCCAGACTCGTGATGGAAGCATACCTTTGCGGTGTTGTGATGGTGTTGTGGTGGTCTGAGCATGACGGGAGCCGGGAGATCATCATGATGCATGCGGAGTTGGAGATACATGTCTAGCTCTACTCACCTACCTCTCGAAGCTGCATGATATGGAAATGATCGCCATTTCTCTACTGCGCTATCAAAAATAAGTAAATGGACGAAACCAAAGACATCAACATTTCCCACAAGTCGCGCCCAATCGGTCAAGCTCCAGAGCTCCCAAACGCAGAAAACCGGGGCGATGCAATCCGCACAACATTTGATCATTGTCATTGTCCCTGCACTCCCCTAATTCACCGATCTTTTCCACCGTGCAAATTGCAGATGAAGGTTGACGCACGCACTATGTGACGAGAGAGGCTGCCGCTGGCGTTACCTCGCGGACTGACCCGCACCACATCTACATCACTTTGACTGCAATCATCAAGTCAACACACGCACGAGGCTCCAATCCACAACATCGCCCGCCCGCACGCCTGAGCCTAGCGGAAAGCTTCGCGTTTGGAAGATCTTCGTATCTTTCGGCGAAGCGAGACAAATCGAATTGGCTGATCTGTCTGTGTTGGTCAATTCGCAACGCCAAGGAAAAATTCCGTTGTGGAAAGCTCCGTCCACGTCAAAGCTACCGATAGCTAGCCAGTCGACGACGACGACGACGACGACGACGATAGCAGCGAAACCGACGCGATCGAGGGGAGACTCCTATTGTCGCCATGTCAGTGCTTCTGGAAACCAGCTCTGGCGATGTCGTGATTGACCTGCTGGTCGACTACGCGCCCAAGCTGTGCGAAAAGTAAGTTGCGACTGCCCGTCAGCGCTGCAACGCTCTTGCTCAGCTAACCAAAGACTTCCAGTTTCCTGAAGCTCTGCAAAGTGAAATACTACAACTTTTCACCCGTCCACTCTGTTCAAAAGAACTTCTCCTTCCAGACCGGCGACCCTCTTGGACCCTTATCGAAACAATCTGATGGAGGCACGTCCATCTGGGGCTTGTTGTCGGGCGACAGCACCAAGAAGATGTTTCCGGCCTTCTTCCATCCGAAGCTGAAGCATCTCGAGCGAGGGACCGTCAGCATGGCCACGGCGCCCCTGGATTCGGACCCGGATACTCGTGTGGCGGCTTCTCAGTTCATCATCACCTTGGGCGATGAAACGGACTACTTAGACGGCAAGGCCGCAGTGTTTGGCAAAGTCGTTGAGGGTTTCGACGTATTGGAGAAGATCAACGAGGCCATCGTAGACGACAAGGGGCATCCCCTCATTGACATTCGAATCAAGCACACCATCATTCTCGATGACCCGTATCCCGATCCCCCCGAGCTGAGAGAGCCTAGCGCTTCGCCTCCCCCGACCAAGTCACAACTCGATACCGTTCGGATCGCGGACGAGGCTGCGCTACACGAAGATGATGATCTAGACGAGGAGGCGATCGAGAAGCGGCGGAGGGACCGAGAAGCACGAGCCCAGGCTCTCACCCTAGAAATGATGGGTGACCTACCGTTTGCCGAGGTTGCCCCCCCTGAAAACGTCCTCTTCGTCTGCAAGCTCAACCCTGTCACCACAGACGCTGATTTGGAGCTCATCTTTGGCCGATTCGGCAAGATTCTGAGTTGCGAGGTCATCCGTGATGCCAAGACCGGAGACAGTCTTCAGTACGCGTTCATCGAGTATGCCGACAAGGCATCTTGTGAGGCTGCCTATGCCAAGATGCAGGATGTCCTGATTGACGACCGTCGTATTCACGTGGACTTCTCGCAGAGTGTGAGCAAGCTGCAACAGGTCTGGAGAGACGATACAAACCAGAAGCGTAGAAAACACGCGTCCAGGGGTGGTTTCGGAGGTGTTGACGAGCTCGAAAAGAGGCGGCAATACCGTGACGAATACGAGCGAAATGGAGATGATTATGACCTGGTGTACGGAGACGAGGAAATGAAGGGTCGCCACCACAGCGCTAAAGACCGACGTCCCGAATCAGATAAGCAGCAGCAGCCTGAGCAAGACAGAGATCAACGGGAAAGAGATCGACCCAGATCGGAACAGGTGCGGAGACGCAGTCGAAGCCCCGGACGCTCAAGGGCCATGGATAGGGACAGACGAGGAGATGGAGATCGATACCGATTCGATGATCGCGGTTCCGGCCGACGGCACGATCAATACGAACGGCGACGTGATGATAGAGATTCGGGTCGCAGAGACCGCAGAGACTGGGACAATCGGAATCGAGGCAGGGATCGAGACTCGGACAGACGAAGATAGTAACAGCAGCAGCGGCAGAAGCAGCACCAGCAGCAGTAGAACTGCAAGACGCGCATCTCATTCTCTTCTCGTCTCCGACAATGCCCATTCAAACTATACCCAGCCGCCGTTGACCAGACCGCAGCTTGCAGCAGCCCGGTCAGCCACAGATGTAGATCCTAAGAAATACAAAAATTGACACCACTATCGCCACTGCCGCCCGCGTAAGGCTCGTGTTTCATGAACAACAACGATATCTCGTTGACCTGTCGAGATGCCACCACGGCAACCTGCTTGCAAGCCACGCCGTCGCATCTCGTCGTCGGCCAGGGAAGTCCGGATGTGGGGAATGGGGCAAGGAGAGAGAGAGAGAGAGAGATTGCCATAGCAGAGGCCATGGGGCTTGACTTCACGACTTGACGTCGCACATGGCGAACGGCTTGCCCCAAGTAGGATTGGTCTCATCGTTTCGCCGTTGCAAACATGGCTATCAAAGCCTATTCCACACTCGCAAGGGCCATGCAAGTAAGCGGCCGGAAGCACCGCGGAAGTGGGGATCGATGCACTCCTTACTGTTGCCAAGGGAGGTTGCATCAGCCTGCTGCGTTTGATGAAGCTGTCATCTGTCAGTTGTCATTTCTTCAAGGTAGTTCCTGTGCTCTGGAAGAAGCTGCAACGGAGCGGCATTGAGAGACGGACCATGGGCCATGGACCGCCATCTCAATTGAAGTCCACAGCCGCTTCGTGCAAGGCCGGCATTGTGCAACAACGTCTTGGACCTGTCAGGACAATCTCCGATCACATCCCTCGCATCCCTCAGAGTTCAGCTCTACGAAGACACATCTAGAATCCTAGAACGAGGTTGCCTTCGGGACGAAAGCTGATGAATTAAGTTCGTGGCAGTTCGTAAACTTGCTTCCGAACCTGATCGACTGCTTCATCGTTCGCATTTCTTTCTCGCTGCCGCTGCCGCCTGCTGTAACCTCGTCGCGGCGTCTAATAGATGCGGTCTCTGGTGTAGGCCTCGCAAGTCCCCCCCCCTTCAAGACGTCCGGCAATATCAGCTGCTAATGTCGCACAGGATCACGAGAGTGACAGCACGTCGAGTCTCGCTGCAGAGCTGCTGCAATTATTTCTGTCCGTCTGGCCGCCAGGCGTCAACTCCCCAAATCCTGTGCGACCGGTCTTCCTTTTACTTTAGTGCGAGCGAGACATGAAGATCAAAGCTCGTCAGTTGTGCTACTACGTGGGGCTCAATGGTCCGTCGATGAAGCTGAGGTTGAGACGGAGGAGGCCGATTATCTTCCCAATGCAGAATTTCGTTGCAGCCAAACCACGGCACGGCAACTTTGTTGGCACAGTACGTCGAGAACTGGCCCTTGGACGAACTCGAAGGCCCAAACCAACGAATCTGATATTCTCCATCGCCAATGTGTTATTGCGGAGTGGAGGCAGCCCGGATCGGCTCGTCTCGTCTCGTCTCGTCTCCTGCGCCTCCCTCGCCTACTTCAGTGCCTGACCCTGGTGGCTGATTTCCATCGCTGACAACCTCCATCAATCTGCTCCGGACGTGGCGGCCCCTAGCATGGGCTGTCAGATGGCATTGTGTCCCTGGGAGCCGGTCCAATCGCTTACGTTCTGTGTCCTGTTGCAAACGGTTGCCCGCATATGGGCAATAACCCCTGGTTCTGGCTATGACTGGCAGCTCCCCAAGGGTAGATGCAGCGCTCCGAAGATGGCTGCGAAAAATTTCCGTTGTCAGCGAAGCCGTCGAGCCATGTGCGTTCTGCTTGCTGCCTCCCGTCCCAGAAGCAGGCACGCACAAGAAATGCCCGGTAACAGGCTAGGTGAAGAGGGATCTGCATCACGACAGACAGCCTGATCGCCGGCATGACGGCCTCACCTTGTTGGGCGAGCTTTTGTTGCTGCAAATGATATCAGTCTGACGCTGTGCTACGCTACCAACAACTTCTCAGTCGACTCTCGATACGAACTGCTCTACTTGAATTTCAGCGAGGGAAGCTCGTTTCTCTTGTCTTGGAATCGCGGCGCAGGCTATCACTTTTTTTTCTTCTAGAAAAAGAGAGCGAGATGAGAGTAATCCCGCGAGACCTGCGTGGTTCCAGATGGTGGTCGACGAGGCGAGGAGATGTCTCAAACACTGCGAGGGGTTTTTTTTTTTTTGGCAATAAGCTCATGCGGAAACACGAGTCCTGCCTAGGTTTAAGACTTTGCACCTCGTTGACCTTGCACGCCGTGAGACGATGGCAGGACAAAACTTCGCTACGGCGGCAAATCTGTACTTCACGATTCCAGTCCCACCAGCATGTCAAAATTGACGGTAGGGAGCAAAAGAAGCTTCTTACACGGATCGAAGTCACCCCTGACAAACGCATCGTTACGGACGTTAGGATCACGATGGAGAATAGGATCCGTCGGCTTCAAGCATGGGCTCTGCATCCATGACAGAATCCTTTTCTCCTGGTTGCTGATGGGCTTGGGGCCATTGGGAACGAGAACGCCACGCCGGGCGAGTTTAGTTACTTAAACTCCTGCAGCAGGACATCTACCCCTAATTCAAATGCACGGAGATATCGGACGACGTAGCAGTGCAGCCTCTTCTTCTCAAACCCTCATCGCCAACACCGTCAATGTCGAGGTACCAACCGCTCTCCGATGCGGGGTCCTTTCACGGTAAGCGGGCGGAGTAGAGTGCATCGCGTCAAGAGAAGGCAGAGACATGGCATACATGTCTACCTATTCGTACAGAATTCGCGTTAACGGGCATGCATCACCAGTTGGCCGCCCACGGGCGAAGCAACAACGGCAACGCAGGTGCGGGAGAGAGAACCACACACACCAACACATTTACTACGCATACACGCGCACATCCTGCCATCGCTCTGTGCCTCAGCGGCCCGTTTGCTATTTCTGTCTGTTCCTTGTTTCCCTTTCACCCCCGCGTGCCGTGTATCGAAGCTCTTCCCGCTATCTTTATCCAAAAGCAGAGGCGCGGCCGCGGCCGGAACTGCAACGTTGTGGAGGGGAGGGGCAACCAAATCCCGGTCGCCAAGTCGCGAACGATCAAAGTGCAGCACAAGCGAGGGCGAGAAACGTGCAGAAGGACACCTCATCTGCCACGAGGAAGAGTGCGAGGCTTGGGGAAGGGGCTGCACACCGAGCCTGGCTCAAGACTTTCAGAGCGTACAACGGCGCAACAGCAAAGACGGCTTGTTTGGCAGCTTCCCATCCCATTTTGGAGCCCAGGTGTGCGCCCCTTTGCCCCTCCTGGGCCTCTTGAGGCGGCCTTGGGCGGCCGTCTTTGGCGGCCATATTCATGCATCTCGTTTGCCCATGTAAGAGTACTTCAAATGGGGAAAGGCAAACACCGTGACGCACCGCCAGCTATTTCGGAGGACATCTCTTGTGAATCCTCCGGCCGTATCTCCCTGTAGTCTTTTTCGCCAGCTGAGGTGTCGGTTTGCGTGATAGAACTCTTCGCGGAACCTCCCAGTGCCGGCTGGCAAATGATGGCTCAAGTTTGTTGCTGTAATTATGCAGATGACGGGCTTTGCAGCATGGCCCATGGTCCCATCCTGAGATGCTCATTTCTTATAGGATTCTCTCTCGGCCGGTCAGGGAGATGTTTGGCGAACGAAAAACTGCTGCACGCACCATGCAGCATGAAGCATGCACCAGCAACACCGTTGATTTTCCTGCTTTTCTTGCTTTTTTTTCTTCCTTCGACCTTTGAGTCTTTCTGGCCTCCTTGAATATTTTTCTTCGTCTTCTTCAGCGAGCTGGCGGTGTTACACTTTAACCGGGCGCCAAGTGGCAGCCAGTACCGCTTGATGGCTCGTCCCGGGGTTGTCGCCGTTGCTTCTGGCTGGAGAGATATTCGGCCAGTTCTCTTTTTTGTATTTGGCCCTCTCGGTTCAATCATCCTGAGCTGTGTGAGTGTGTGTTGTAACGAAGGCCGCTTCGTATCGTGACACGGGGGACAGCGACACCCACACAAGCGTATTCACTGACGATGGCTTGCGTCACGTAACCTTCAGCTTTCTGCAGTTTTTGTCTCTCGCTCTCTTCCTATCACTCTCTGCATCTCACTCTCTCATACGTTTTCCCTGCTTGCTGTTGTAGTACTTTTCATAACCCCCGGACGCCGCCTCGGTGTACATGAACGGGGAAAAGTGTGACTTGCCCTCATACACTGAGTCTCTCGCTGGATGATTTGTCTGCCTTCAATCAAATTACTTATCGTGACAGGGTCAGACGATCAAGCCTCCATGGTTTGCACCCTCCAAGTGGGACCGAGACGGCCATTTTGCCCGGCGATGGTCGAGCAGAAGTGTTTGCGGTGTGGTTTCGGTGTCATTAGGGAAAGCACCTTTCCCATTTCAGAAGCAATTTTTCTCAAAGCAGATGTTACTTCTTTTCTTCTGTGTCCCCATCCCGTATTCCACTCTTTTTCTGTAGACGACTGGTGAGTCAGGACTTATGGGTTGTTGAGGGGAAACGGACAGCCTGGCTCCCATGATACATGTACCTACCTCCTCATCGTGGGAGATCATCCATCCAATACATTTTCTCTTCTCCGTTGGACGCGCTTGCACCGAGCGTTTATACAAGTCTCGGTTACCACATAACAACTCGGCAGTTTCTTCAGCAATAGAAATCGCGGGCGTGGGGGGTACGTCGAGGAATGATGTACTCACAGTATTGGGGCCGTTTCCTCCTCTCATCACGTCAAAATTATTGTCTTGATCCCGAGCGGTAGGCCGAGGATGGAGATTCTTTCTTACGAATGGTGGCGATAACACAGGAAAAGCAGTCTCGCTTCTCCTAGCAGGACGAATATCAAACGCTATTCTGATTGGATGTGCAAGGTTTCCAAGTTATCTTTACGGCTGAGAAAAATAATGCAGTCTCAAAAGGTCTTAGACCGTTCTCTCTCACTCTCACTCTCAGCTCTTTTCACACCAAGTCTACCGGTGAGCTACCGAATGGGCGAGATTCTCGGGTCCAGGTTGGCCCAGCCCCGAGAACCCCAGATCCTTTTTCTCCTCATCCAGATTCCAAGATGTGCCCACATATCCAAGATGAGATCGACCTTCCCTCCCGTCTGGCCCTACAAGATCTTCCAACGCAGGACTAGGCCACCCCTGCTCAAGCTGTCCGCCCCTCGTCCTCCTCCCCCTCCACCACCGCCGTCGCCGCCCCCTTCCGTTTGCTCTCCGCGTCCATTCCCTCCAGCCCCAAAGTATCTCCCCCAATCTGCATTGATGGAGGAGGAACTGGAGATAAGAGTGCAGGGGCGTTGATCCTAGAGGCTCTCTCTCTTCCTCTCTCCTTACTCCCACGTCCCTAGGTACTCCATATTCCCCACCCCCGTGGGCCATGCTTGTTTGTCACTAAACTGCCAGAGCCGAAGTGAGGGCCTCCCCTTCTTCCCCCCTCCAGATGCCCTGTCTTCTGCGGCTTCCCGCGGTCGGTGTCACTGCAGCACTACATGCGTCTCTTTTCTTTGCGTATGTAAAAAAATCTACACCATCATCTGCTTCTCTGTTGCTTCGGTCTAAGTTCAAGGGACCCCCCAAAAGATGCTGTAGCAGCCTTGTCTTCCCTCGCCCGTCCGATGACAGATGTCGTGTCTGGTGGTCCGCAAGCTTCCATGGGGGGGTGGGGGGGGAAGGAAAGACAGAGAGGAAGGGGTAGGCGCCGATGTCGAAAGAGAGGGGTGGGAGGGGCGTGTATGAAATGAGTGACCTAATATTCATCTCCATGGGAAATCAACTCTGTGTGGAAAGAATCTTCAAGGTGTGGAAAATGTCTCTTTCATGGAAGTGTTACGCTGGACAGTAGGAGGGTGTGGATGCATTAGAAGATACGGTGCAAACACCGGAACAACAACCAGCTATCTGTTCTTGCACGCGAATCAAAGATGCGTTTCTCTCAGACCAGGATGTGTATAACTCGCCGGCTGCAGCAACTTCAAGCTTGTTTTCTCGTTGGTGTTTTTTATTTTATGTTCCCTCTCTTTGCCTTTCTAGTCTGCTGGTTTTATCAAGTTTTTTTCCCCCGTTCCCTCAAAAGCTGGCCTGGACTCATGTCATTGCCTCTCTTGCTGACTTGTTTTATTTCTTTCTCGAATTCCATGTGGGACACTGAATAATTCTCGAGCTTTTGACTTGCCACCTGGGAAAGGTATTCATTAGCGGCCTTGGTTCAATAATTTCCTCTTTCTTCAAGACAGCAACGTCTCACAAGGAGGCGTGAAGAGAAAACAAGAACAAAATCTACCCCCGTCCATCAACTACATCTTATTTCCTCCTTTCTCTTTCTCCTCTGCCTCTCTCTCCTACGCACATCATCTAGGTTTCCATTCCAGTCAGCCTCGACGGAAGTCAGACTCGCTGAAGAAGGGAAAAAGGAAAAGCATAACGTCCTTGTCCTTCTCTGAAACGAGACAAGGACTTTGACGCATGGTCACGACGGCAACAGCATCAGCATCAGCAGCATCGAAGAAAGAGGCTTATCCCCCCTTCATCGACGAACGCGAAGCACAGCATCTCTCCAATCCCACATCTCTCCAAAGAAAAGATTGACCACACACACACACACACACACACACACACACACCGAAACAAGAAACAAACCAAAAAAGCCCAGTCCAGCCCCTCGCTTCCTGTAACAGGCGCGCCAAATCTTGCCCACACTAGCAGACACTGCTGCACGATCGAAGCCCACCACCTCATTGTCATCGCCTATTACACTACCTCACTTCTCGCTAGGCCTTTTGCCTTGATTTAGAGCAAGATCATCCGAGACGAAGTAATCTTTTGTGCAATCCACACACGATGCCCAGTCCGGCATACTTCGCAGAGGGAAGACGATATAGCCGCGTCGACCCGACATACGGTTACCCGGAACGTCAGCAACGACATCACTCGCATTCTACTGAAGCGCGGACATCAAACATGGCTGAACGAGAGAATGAAACGGATACACCTCCCCGCAAGCGCATTGCCGTCGCTGTAAGTCCTTGTTGTCTTTTCGTTATCCACTCTTTTGCTGCCAACCCTGATATGCTTTGCATCTGTTGCTTCAATTTCTTTCTCTCATATATGTTTCCTTGGTCTTGTGTTTCAAGTATGTTCCTATATCAAGAAAAGGAAACAGTCTTTGAAAATCTGGACTTTAGATGTTGGAGGACGTACGAAGCAAGGGAACTTGCATAACCGTTATTTAACGGAGTAGAAAGGGGAGAAGAAAAAAAGAAAGATCTGACAAGATTGACAGTGTGGCCGCTGCCGGAAGCGCAAGATTCGCTGCAGCGGAGATACGGGCAACGGACTTCCATGTCAGAACTGCAAGGCCGCCGGCGCCGAGTCCTGCATGTTTTTACGAGTAAGTGGAACAACCTCCATGGGGCCCTCGACGCTGCCCCCCGGAGTCCCGGACTAACACGCTTTCCAAAGGTCGCCTCGACAGAAGCTCCCTGGGTATCTACTGAAGCATCTTTCTCATACGACCTCAAGGCCGCGAGGGCATACCAAGCCCACCTGGGCACCTCCCCCATGACGTCGTCCCCGCCTCACCACTACACCTCCGACATTCACGACGGCCTTCCCCGCTACTCGTCAACATCGACTGGCTACTACGCCGGAAAGTACTACCCCTCTCCCGCAACTATGCCGAGCTGGTCCGGCACGCCGGGCTACTCAGACGACGCTGTGGACTACGGCCCCGCCGCGGTGACCACCATGGGATACCCGTACTCTTACCAGCAGGCCGCAGACACGAGCTACTACTACCGCGTAAACCCCGCCGCAAAGGTTACCGCAGCGGCACCGAGCGCGGGCGACTTATACGTCAACACGGCGGACGCTGTAGCGGCAGCGGGATATGCCTACACCACTAACGCCGGCTCAGTCACGCAGCTTCCCCACCGGCCCGCGACGACAGTGGCAGCGGCAGCGGTGCAGCAGAGCGAGGGCCAGAACTTCTCTTTTACTGGCGTCGCCGCCTCCTTGCCCCCCGCCGGCGACCGTCGACTCCCCGACCCTGCTACGCGTCAGCCCATCGCTAACGCAAACGTTCTATCCTACCGTACAGAAGGCGCCGCCGTCCCGTCCTCTACGGAGTCGACATCGACAAAGTCGTCCGGTAGCCCGACGTCTCAGACCTCCCCCATCTCAGACGTGACGAGCTACGGTACTTCGGGCCCCGGCAGCTCAGGAAGCTTCGAGACGTCGCCCGTGTCGGCGTACCCGCCTCCATCGCACACTCTCCCCTCCATGACGCAGCAGCAGCGTATTTCCAACGCTGAGTTGGCGGGATACCCACCGTGCACGACCAACAACAGCAGCGAGGCCATCTTCAGCGCTCCGGAAACGAGTCTCCGATCCGCGTCTGATTCCGATTTGAGCTACAAGTACACCGACGCCTCCACTGTGCCGTCAGGGGCAAGCAGAGACGGCAGCGGCCGTCGACGAAGCGGCGAGACCTCGAGTCCCACGTCCTCCTCGTCCTCAACTACCCCTGTCGCTGGTGGAGGCTCGCTTTCCAATGGGCAGCAGTACACCGTCACCACACCGTCTCCGGGCATGTACCCTGCCATGAGTCATCACGGAAGGCATCATATCAACCAGTACATGCTTTCCGAGGAGGTCGCGGCCGAGCATCATCAGCACCAGCATCACGGCCATCACCCTGGCCACGGCCACCACCACAGCAGTCGCCACCACTCGGGTCGCAGGTTTGCGGGTGGCTTGTCCGCCTCCTAGGTGGTATCATCTGCTCCGGCCGGCCGGCTAGAGTGCTTGATACCTACCTCACTATTGGTGGTGCCAGCAAATGGATCGGGGGCCCCCTTTTCACGATGGCACTTACCACTTGTTACAACATTTTTCGCTTGCTTTATTTTATTCATCCACTCCTTTCTTTGCATTTTCCGATCCAACAACAACTGCGACACGATCGTTCTCGCCAAATGAAGACACACACCATGACAGTCACCGGTGTGAGGGATACGAAGATCCGATAGAACGTCGCTAATCCGACCCTACTCGGTGAGGGCAATACAAGTCCAGACCATGAAAGAGCGAAAAACGTCACGGAGTTCCCCCAATGGACAATAAGAATACTATTCTGGGATAAGGGAAACCTGTAGCATAAGCCGTGGCGCACTCTCGACTCGCTGGGTTCCTGCACGACTTCATCAATACGAAACATCCCACACCAGGGAGATGCATACTCCAACGATGGATGAATGAGAGATACAATTTTGTCATTGAGGAAAAACGCCGCCTGTTCGTATGCTGTCGAAGCAGAGAACGCCACAGCCTTATCCCTCCTTCTCGTACGTCGTCGAAACAGATGACGCCTTTTGCAGGGGGGAAAGCTTCATTGGCAGATAGGGGCATACATCATCCCCCCCATTCTTCTCCAGCAGGAGGCGAGGTGGCTTGCAACGTGCAGGAACCGGGTTGAGGGTTTGTTTCTTCCCCGGTGAAGAGGGTGTGGTCTGCTGCATGTGTGCGGCTCAGCCTTGCTTGCCATTGCCCTTGCCATTGCCATCAAACGGTACGCAGCGACAACGACGACGTCTACGCCACCCGTCTACAGCCATTTCCGGAGGTATCATGGTGGGCGGGGAGAATTACAGCTTCTCCGGCAATGCGATGCAAGGTCTAGATTCGCTGACGAGGCTGTACTGAAGCCGTTGGGATATACTACCCAATGTGGTCTTGCATCCATCAATGGCATCTTGGGACGCATTTGTGTGTGTGTGTGTGTGTGGATGGTGGTTGTTATCGAGAACAAGACGGAGGGGAGGGAGGGCAAGAAACCGAATAGGATCACCTCGGGACCCCGGCGGCATGATGCAGCTATCCGACCCGGGACGCCCGCCCAGGAACCTCCCAACGCAGCCCCCCCTGACACCCGTCCAGTCACGTCCCGTTCTCTCCCTCCATTTCTCGCCTCGCAGGCTCGTACGCAGGTTCCCTCAATGGTGAGGAAACACCTCCAGGCAGGAGTTTCGAACCCCCCCCTGCCCTTCCTTTCCCTTCCCCTCTTCGGCCCCTCCTTTCGTGGTCCCCAGATGGGGACGAATTGCATTCTGCTCGCCCTCCTCCCCACTCCGTTTTTGGTATGGCTTGGGTCGTTGTGAGGGGAGAGGATTCCAGCCCGAAGAAGGGCATAATGTCGGCGAGGGCGTGGTTCATCATCCCTGGTTCCTCTCTTTTCAACAATTGTTTGAGGAATTGCTTCCCCTCCTCATCCTCTTCATTCCCTTGGGCTCATAGTTCGTGACCCTTCCACACAAACCATTTCTTACGTTACAATTCTTCACTCATTATGATCTCTTCTACCTCATTGCTCTTGGGTTGTTTACGTTGGGTAATCTTGTACCAGTCAGCATATTTTCCTTACGTCTTGTCCTTCTCTCTCATCTGCAAGCGATACAATGCTATCAGCAGTTGGTGTAATTTGATATGTCAGAGTGGAGGGGGCATTAGGATCACGGAACGGATGGATCTTCCTAAGATCTCGGGGGTCAGGAAGGACGGTGATACAAAAAAGAATGGCACTATGAATTCAGGGGCATTCATCATTGGTTGATACCTAGGGTAGGGGAATAAGGCCGGTTGGAGCTTGGAACGTGGTGCTTCAAAAAAAGATTGAGGATAATCAGGGGCATCGTTCAGGCTTATTTTGCTCTGGTGTCTACATGGCTTTACTTCACGGGACCATGGGGCGTTGGGATGGCTGCTTTATGTTGCTCTGTTTTACATTAGGGAGTCCCTGCCATGGCAGCCGCCCGCCATGGGTAAGGGGTCAGTATCATCTATCAAATCACCAAGGGTGGTCCGGTCTCTCAAGCCATCACCGGTTGGAAAATTCAAAAACTTACATCAAGTATCCGTTCCTCTTTCTTGTGTACCCCGTGTCCAGCGTGTGGAAGTCTCCGATGTGATACGCGGAGGAGTCTTGCATGTGTATCTGGCCAGAACTAGACAGGAATCATTGAGACCAAAAGAATTCATTCAAACAGCAGCCAAAGACAGAGTCCCGGCTAGAATTGGGGCAATGCCTTGCATAGTAGGCAGGATTCGGGCAAAATCAAATAATCTCTCTCATGGTACTTTTTCTTCGTGGTCTTCTCGTATGGATATTGGGTATGAACAACTGCTCCCCTCGTCTCAAACACGGGGGCCAAGAGGGATGATGTGTGCGCTGCACTTCTGGAAGCCTCTCTTTACAACTTTTCCTCCGGCTTCTCCTCAATCTCGCAGAACGCCTTGAATGTGACAAACTCATCATCTTCGTCACCCTCGGACTGCAACACCAACTCCGCCGTCGATCCAACAAAGAAGACGTTGCCCTCGGTGATCTTCTGCACCGTCGGACCGACAGCGATGGTGCCCCTGCCCGACGTGCAGATAACGATACTGGGACCCTCGATGGGCTCGAATGTGACCTTGGAGCCGTCGCCGTTCAAAAGCGACCGGACGACGCTGAACTCCTCAATGGGCGGATCATACAAGATGACGGCAGAGCCGGAGCTGTAGGCGGCGCGGTTGAGAGTGGCGTAGGGATACTCGGACGGAGACATCTTTTGCTCGTCAATGGGCGCGTAGTTGTAGGTGAGCATGTCGACGAGGGTGGGCACGTCCTTAAACTTGGGGGTGAAGCCGGCGCGGACGACGTTGTCTGAGGCGGCCATGCACTCGATGATGTCGCCGGAGAGGTAGGCGTGAATGTCGTCGGCGACAAGGAACATGGCCTCACCAGGCTCCATCTTGACGTAATTGAGGAAGAAGAGGACGAAAAGGCCAATATCTGCTCCGAATTCGGCGTGGTTGCTCAGGATCAACTCCGAGAGGGTCTCGCCATCTGTTGTGGGTACGCCGCCGCCGGCAAAGTCGCTGACTTTTGACTTGGCGAGGGCGACGAGCTTCTCCGTCTGCTTCTCAACTTCCTCGGGTGTGGCGGACAGAAGAGCGGCGAAAATATGCTGCAGAGCCTTCTTATTCCGGTCCTTGGTCTCGGGGTTCTCGGTCTCCTCCTCACCCTTGACGGTGTTGATGAACTCGTCGGCCTTGTCGTCGACGACTAGGCTCTTCAAGGGTGGGACTGTCGCGAGGAAATGTGAGATTTCGGAAAGTGGGCGGAATCCGCAGAGACCTTCGAAAGGGGTGATGGCAATGGCCATCTCGGGCTTGTGGTTGTCATCGGGATAGTTCTTGGGGTCGCGGGCGTGTAGCTGTTCGGCAAGCTTCTTATTCGGGTGGGCCTGTATCGAGAGGGCCTTGTTGATGGAGAGAACCTTGAAGAGGAAGGGGAGTTTCGAGCCATATTTGGAGGAAATGGGCGCGGAAAGGAGTTGCTGGTTGTCTTGGACAAGTTCGAGGAGGGTGCGACCAGACTGCAGGTCTTTTGAGGGGTTTGAGGGATGAGTGCCCATCCATAGCTACAAACACCAATTAACGATGCAAGAATACTTCACAGCATGAAGCTCACCTCTGCATACGGCTTCTCCGACTCGATGCTGAAGCCCTCAGCTGGTGTTGTGGCAGCAAAGCGCGCAGCTGCTGAGTCCTCTCCCTTCTTTCCCCATTCGTAGGAGTTCACTCCGCATTGGAGCTTGAACAGGGGCACTTGTAAGACCATTGTGACTGAACTGACGAGCCGAAAAACAGCACAAAGAAATCGAAAGGAGACAGTAAACAGAGGTATCAAGGGAGAGGCTAGATGCGACGACAACGTCGTACTAATAAGGTTGGGAGTGCGTATGCTCACCCCACCATTAGATTTGACGTCAGGGAGAGCTTCACTTGGAGGACCCCGCAGAATGGAGCCAGTACCTCCGGACCCCTCCAAACGATCAACAGGTCAGAGCACGGGCCCCGGGGGAGTGGTCGGGCCGCAGGGTGGAAGGCCATTTGAGAAGTCTTGATTGGCTTAGGCATACGATAAGAGCTATCGGCAAACCCACCTCGGTATTATACAACACCGCGGCGGATCTCAGCGGTGGCAGGCGCGTTAATGAGCCAATGAAGCTTCCAACTCTCCGCTTTCCTGCGCGTGGCCCGATACCGCCCGCATTCTGCCATCAGCATCTCCAAGATCCAAACACCTTGATTGCCATGGCATTCAGAGACCTGGCCAATTCAAAAGCTTGAATCATTGGCTTTTTCTTTTTTGGTCGCGTCATGGGCTAAGTTTTCTCGGTTGAGTTCTTTTTTGTTTCTTTAAATAGCGTCTTTGCGCCTAGATACCCCAGCAACACAAGAGAGAGAAAGAGCTCGAGGCAATCTCCAGCCTTGGAACCGAACGTGACCTAACTTGCGACAGCTGGCGGAGCAAAACCCAAGTGAACATTGCACTTTCCCTGTGAGTGCCTTCGTGCTTGCCTTCCCTGCTTGCACCTAGCTACCCTACCCCTACCTACCTGCATCAACTTCCTCCTTCTGGACATCTCTTCTCCCCTCCTCCCACCTTATCCTCTTCATCCTCTTCATCCTGCTCAACACCCAGTTATTCATCTCCATCATCAGGTTAAACCAGAACTGATATCAAAATGCTGCAGGGTCGAAAGAGCAAAGCCAAGAAGCCGACTCGCGGTGGTCGAATAGACAAGTCTACCACTGCCGACCCGACGCCCGGTAGCACATCTGCGAGCGTACTTGCGAGCACATCCTCTGCTCCGGCTGCCCGCAACGAGTCCACCTAGAAGAAGCGCGACACGCCCAAGGTTCAGCCCAGCCCTTTGGAGTCTTTGCAAGCCAAGATGTCTCAGCGAAACCGAAGCGGCCGCGGCTCAAATCGCAACAATGGCAGCGGCCATGGCGAAGAAGTGCAGCTATGGGAATCTGCCAAGGAGAAGATACACGAGGTTGTCAACGGTGTGAATCAAGAGAATGACAATTTGGCCGAGCTATTGAAGCTTGACAAGAAGGCAGCTATGGCTAGCATGGACGGCGGAAACCCATCAGGCAGCGATCTTAACAAGATGGAGCAGAACTGCCGTTCCGGTGTCAAGCTGTCGGAGAACAACTCCAACAACATCAAGAACCTCGTTGAACAGCTCAAAATTCTCAAGGCTGTGCAACAGGCCAAGGAAGCAGCAGAGGCTCCAGCAACAACCGGCGCCTCATCACGGACGGGCAGCTCGACCCGCAATCGAGACGCGGCAGCAGCAGCGCTCTACGACTTCGATGGAGCGGGGGACTCTCCCGTGCCTAGTCCCATTGGCGGAAGTTCACGCAAGTACGGCGACCGGGGTAGCAACCGCGACAGCATGCCCCCGAAGGCAGATAGCGTCGAGCCGCAGGGGTCCACGGGCTCCAACACGGCAGGCTCATCGTCAGGTGCCCTAGGGTCAAGCGCTTCTTCTGCAGCTCGAAGCAAGATCTCGTTCTCCAAAGGGGACAAGGTAGCCTTCAAGCGGAAGAAAGACGAGCCGCAGCAGGGGGAAGCACCGTATGACTGGATACTAGGTGAGGTGGTGGGCGTTATCGGCGAAGGCAAGAGCCGGCGGTACAAGTGCTTGGACGTGGAGCCGGAGGACAACGTCAAGCCGAAGGAGTACAAGACGTTTGCGTCGGGCATGATACCGATCCCGGCGGAGAACCAGACGCACAATCTCGCTAAGCTGGAGGCGGGCAGGATGGTCCTCGGGCTCTACCCGCAGACAACGGCATTTTACGCGGCAGACGTTGTCGGCACGGAGCCGGACGGCAAGACGGTCAATCTCAAGTTTCACGGCGAAAACGACTCATCGACTACGCATCAGGTGGAGCGGCGCTACGTGCTGGAGTATCGGCCCTGAGCCCCAAGAGGACAAGGGCCCCGAGATGCAGATGCACCAGATGATCCAGATCTGGTGATGCGGAGAATGAGAGGGCCAAACTCTCAAGTCGGGGAGCGCATGGCGTTAGCGAAGTGTTAGCGAGAGCCATGAGCGGGCGTTCGCTTAAAGTATTGAGTTGAGAAAGTGCGTATTGGCCGAGAGATCAACGGCCCGGACATGGGATATCTGGTGTATCGTCAAGCCTCATTAAACACACAAAAAGGGGACATGACGTGGCGGGTCGAAACGGAACTTAACATGCTTACTATGCATACAAGGCAGGGGTAGCAGCTAGCGGGTATCCGTACCAGTGACAGTATTAGTAGTACGGATAGAAATGACTATGAACGTTTAGATGCTTTGAGCCTTTGTCCCAGCTTTCTTACGTATTCGTAAGGTAAGGCCGGAATAACTGCAGACGAGTCATCTTTTGTTTGGTGGCTTTTAGGTCTGTCACTCATGACATGCGACTCGGATGTGTACATACATGCAATGATGCACTGATATGCGAGGCAAGGAGACGCTGCAATCAAACTATCAGAGGTTGGCTTCAAAGTGTCAAATTTCGCCCCTGACTCCGGCATGGCACGTGCATATATTTTTATTCGAATGCCGTGACTTGGCTAAGGCAGATATGGAGTGAAGTGGTGGTGTACCTGCAGGTCGCTAAATCTGCCCATTGGCTAGAGCAACAGCCACGATAACAAGGGGTTCGCGGTAGTCATAGATAGTTTTACAGAGGGATGGGAAGATATCATATTCGGTCCAGCTCTATCGGAAAAGACGCAAGAGCGAGAGTTGCGAAAAAGAAGTCAGATCGCGAGTCGAGCAATCAGATGGGAGACAAGAGAGAGGCAACCTGAAGGACACAGGGGTGAGGAAGGAACAAGTTAACAACCAAGAGACCCCTTGGGGCCCTTGCTGTTTGGGATCCACCTCAAAAAAAGGTACACGAGAAGGCTGATTGGCTCCGTGGCGGCTTGCATGTCTCCGTTTGAACTGGAGATGTTCTGGTGTGGGAGCGGGAGCGGGTACGTACCTGAAAACACCCGCGGACCTGCGTTTGAATCTCCGAGATGTTTTTTTACATACGCTGTTCTCGTACCTTGCCTAAGATGGATAGACCAGGGGGGGGCCATACAATCCGGATACCTCAGCGGAGGGGAAGAAAAAGAGACGAGAGTGCGACCATCGTGTCCCACAATAAAAACCTTTGGAAAAGGCATGGGCCCTGCGTTTGTTGTTGTTGACGATGATGACTGATGTGGACAGCGGTTCAGAGTTACGGAGTACTGGAGTTGAGCATGTCATGTGCAATGTGCATGCGCCCCGGAGCGAGCGCTGCATTGCTCGAGATTCAATATTTCCATCTAAACGTGATTGCGAATACAAGATGCGGCCCCTCTCCCTCCAATTGGGTCACCCGTTTCGCTTGAGAGAGTTACGAACCCGAGGCAACTTTTTGAATTGCTGATGTAACTACCCACAGTGTCATGGTCTCATAGTAGACGATGAGGTGAAGAGTGTTTGATGGGTCTGTGGTTTGGTCTGTGGTTCTGCCCGCCTGACCAAACGGCTGGGCTAAGAATTGACCCTCCTTGGGCAAACGGTTGAAACGCATGAGAAGCTGAGCCGCATATGCCCATTGCCATTGCCCATGTACCTATTCCACACGGCTACCCAAGACGACTGTTTTCTGGCCTGGTATCTGACAGATAATTCGGAAAAGGAGGTAGGCTGTACGCTCATGCCTCGCATCTGGAGTAAGCAGCAAGTATGCATTCTGTAGCATGACAGGTCCATAGGCGGTATTCTCGTATCTAATTAGTTAAGGTGCTTAGAGTATCTACACTAAAGCATCTGTCAAGAAGGTACGTTTCCTTAGTGAGCGCATCTCACTTCGTTTCGGATGACGGCTAGCATTAATCACAGCCCAAATATAGCTGTCAATTGGCCCGTTTCGATACTGTCTTGGCGTCGTTGCTCCCTCCCTGCCCAAGTCTGTATCCGTACGGAGTACGGAGTAGTGCTTCGCGTCTGCTGTCTCCCAGCCAGCCTTCGCACACGCCTCGGTCCCCATACGGTTGTACCACGTCCAACGTCCCACGTCGCCAATCCCACGTCCCACGTAACGCCCGAGCGAACGAAAGGCGGCTGCCCGGTCGCTGCAAAGTGGAAAGTGCCCAACTCCATTCGACCCCCAACCTCCGATCCCCGACCAGGTATCTATCTGTACGCCGCACAGCGCCTGCACCAACAACCACCACCATCACTTGCCAAAAGTACTACAGCAAATCGCAAAGTTGCTCTCGAATTTTTTTTTTGTGATAGCCTCTGCCATTCACCACACACTCCTTCTCTCTCTCGCAACTCTCCTTCGCTCATCCCCGGAAATCTTTCCCACCCCGACGACCGCCACGTCTTTGGATTAATTGCGCGCGACACTATCCGAACCGTCAATTTCGCCTGTCGTCCCCAAAGGTCCGACACGAGGGAATCCAGAGTCAGCGATCCATCATACGTTGCGACGTCCCCTTTAAGCCCGACACCGCACCACCGCCCAGTCGCCCCTCCCACCCTCGACAACAACACCGACCGATCGACTCAACCCCCTACTACCAAGAAACCCACGATAACAACACCCCAGCAGTCACAATGGGTGGTCAACTCTCAAAGATGATGGGCAAGATCTTCGGGTCAAAGGAGATGCGCCTGCTGATGCTGGGTCTCGACGCTGCCGGCAAGACCACCATCCTCTACAAGCTCAAGCTCGGCCAGGACGTCACCACCATTCCCACTGTCGGCTTCAACGTCGAGACCGTCACCTACAAGAACGTCAAGTTCAACGTCTGGGACGTCGGTGGTCAGGACAAGATCCGTCCCCTTTGGAGACATTACTTTAGCGGTGAGCTCTCGCCCGTCCTCTACTCATCTCAATTATGCCTTCCCCTCCGGGGGTTGTCTGTTCATTATGTAATTCAGTTGTGCTGACGATACCACCATCCTCCCACAGGAACCCAGGGTCTTATTTTCGTCATTGACTCGTCGGATCGCGCGAGAATCGAGGAGGCCAAGTCGGAATTGCACAGAATCATCAACGACCGCGAAATGAAGGACAGCTTGCTGCTGGTATTCGCCAACAAGCAGGACGTCAACGGAGGTAAGCCTAGATAAATCGTGCCCTTGATCCCAACGGGTGACCGCACCGCCCAGCGGTTCTCCCCCTCATTGGTCCTTCTTTTTGGACACGTTGGAAGACTGACCGTGTGTCCACAACCACAGCCATGAAGCCGCAAGAAGTCACCGAGGCCCTGAACCTTTCAAAGTTAAAAGACAAGGTCTGGTACGTTGTGCCCAGTTGCGCGACGACGGGCGAGGGCCTGCTCGAGGGTCTGGCTTGGCTGTCCAACAACGTCAAGGCACCGCCTGCCCCGGCCAAGAAGTAGACGACGAGACGAGCGGCGAATGTCTTCCTCATCCACTACCAATCCGACTCTTTCATGATTCACCGACTCACCGACAAATCCTCCAAGCCCACCGCCTATCTATCCCATCTTACCCATTTCCGATCCGTGTCCCACTCGAAAGAATGCGTACCGAGGCATCGAACGTCCCTGAACCGAGTCCGCCGGGTCGAAATTCCAGGTCCATCACAACACCCCGAGCATCCGCCGCGGCTCGGATGATGGACGGAGAGGGAAAAGATGTCTCTTGCAAGAACGCGCCGCCAGGAACCTACCTCGAAGAACAGGGCGATTCTTCTCTCATTATCCAATCCTCGGCAGCAATGGGATCCCCCAACTACACCAAGGCCTTTTCTTCTTCTTCTTCTTTACTAACTCAAACCTCTTGATGTAACGTTTTTTAACTACGCTGATATGGAGAAAAAGATGGAGAGAAAGGGGGAATCAGGGGGAAGAGCCAAAAAAGAAGGGAGCAGGATCGGCTTTCCCAACACATTATCATACGTTTTTCTTCCTCCCGTGGGCTGCTGCTAGCTTCTTTCTTCTTCTCGTCCTCCTTTCAACAGTTTCGTTTCTCTGGTTTCTCTGTTCCAATGTTGTTCTGAAATACCCGAGCTCTAGAAGGTGAAAGAAAAGAACGTGGTTTGTTTGGGGGCGGGGCCAAAAAGGCAGGTAGTGAGTGTTCTTTCTCTCTTCCTTTTTTTATTTTTTATTTTTTTATTTTTCTTATCTTCATAAGCTGTATTCAAATGATGTACAAGAAACTGTCCAAAGATTTCGCCCATCTGCGGTTCCCTCACCCGTCCATTCCATTCTTTCCGTGAAGCAGCTATCCTCTTGGAAGAGAAGTTGAGTACCTGCGCCATGTATGCCATCGCCGTGAGGCATGTGGACTGTCCATTCAAGTTCATACTAGCCCAGCCAGCTGGGCGAATCGGTCCATGTTCATCATCGTTATCATCATTCGTCAGGGGGCCCCAAGGGAGGCTAAGCTTCTTTTTCATCCAGCCGCACGAGGCTACCGATCTTTGGCAGCCAGTCATCTGTCTGACGCCCCCAGCCACGGCTCCTGCCGCTTGTATTGTGAGCCCTAGGCCGGTTTTTAGGCGCGCTAGTCAGATTTCTCCGAGCAAGCTCAGGGGTGGACAGGACGCCACCGGTCCCGAGAACCTAACCGATAGCCGGCTCCAGCAGAAATGGTGAGGTCTCGCCGGGTGGAGACGATCGATTCGTGAAATAGGTCATTTTACCGTTCCTACATTCGGACCATCTCACCCAGCCACGAGGACACCGACGACGGCAGCGACGACCAACGCCCCGATGCCGGCCTTGCGGCTCACGGCAGCAGTAGCAGCAGCGTTGTTGGCGGGTGCGACCATGATGGGTCTGTGCCAGCCGCAGTGTGTCGAGGTGCCTCGCGTCGCGCAGGAGTAGTACGTCGTCTGGTAGTATCCCATTTCGGCGAGGTTCGGCTCCGGACGGGGGGTTACGCCGGGGGCCGGGGGGATGAGGGAGGCGTAGTTTCTTGGGCCGGAATCTGCTGGGGTTTCTACTGCTGCTGCGGCGATGGCAGCGGCGGCGGCAACGGCTGCTTCGGTGGGGGCTGTGGTTGATGGCGGAAGGGAGGGTGAGGAGGAGGAGGAGGAGGAGGATGTTCGGTTGTGAGGGTTCTTGTGGAGGCGGGCTGGGCCCAGGCGGAGGGGTCGGCCTGATGCGCAGGGTGATGTGGAGTTGTGGTGCCCCGGCGAGGAGGAGGAGTTTGAGGGTGGGAATTTGGGAGTAAGGGTTGAGTAGATTGGGGATGGAGCTGGAGACTGGTTTGGGTTTGGGCGCGGGGAGGCGGGTATGCCTGTTGGGAAGAGGGCTGCGCCGGTGGTGGGGTGGAAGGGCTGGATTGGAGGTTGTTGTGTGTCTGGTGAGGATGTTGATGTTGGTGGGGGGTTTGTGGGTGTTGCTGGTGTTGCTGGGAGAGCTGCTGTTGATGTTGCGAGGAGGAGGAAGAGGAGCGAGAGAAAGAGGGTGAGATGAGAGAGGGGATGCATCGTGGGTTTGGTCGGTTGAAGTTGTCGATGGAGGGGTTTTTGGTGGATGGTTTATTAAGAGGAAGAGGGGGATGAGGTGAGTGAGACCGGCTCTCTTTTTGATATAATTCAGGTAGCAAATGAATGGGAATAGCTTCCAGAGGCTATTCGATGTTTAGAGAGTATGTGTGAGATTAGAAGAAAAGGTGGAATGAAGAGTCGAACAATGGGTGGTTGAACATTGACTGTCGACCAACGTCAGTGAGACAAGGAACAAAGTTTTGGGTGAAATTGGACCGGCCACGTTTGTGCCTTTATCACTTTTTTCGTCATTGTGGTTAGGTGGTTTGGGGGCGAGAAGCACCTGGAACATTTTGGTAGAAGGTGAGTCGTGACGCGAGAGACAGGAGAGAGTGGTAGGTGGTAATAGGTAGATGATGGATTGGAGGATTCTATCCTGCCCTTGGTATGCAGGAGGAGTCACTGGGGGTTCGCGTTCCAGAGGATGGATGGGTTGGGGTGGGTTGGGTGCGACTGGACTAAAGCGCGTTTGGCATGTCCATCAGGCACCGTTGTCTACCTTTCTAGAAGGCGAATCAGCCCTGACGAAGAAATTTGCTTGTTTCTTGTTTGGTGATTGCATGGTGTAGGTTGGTGGTTTGCGTGGTGTTACTGTCGCTTTATTTGCGTGCGTGTTTTAAGGTGTTGGTGTTGTGTGGGGAATGATTGGATGGGAGATCACTGTACGGTTTTTGGAGGTGTGCTTTGGGGGAGTAGTCGCTAGTGAAATGATTCGCGAATTCTGACTCTATTGGAAGCGATGACTTCGGATGGGAGACGACTCTAATGCAGCTACATCTAGGATTCTGGGTCAATGAGAACGAACCGGTCAAGGGGGTTTCTCGGATCAGGAGCCGATACCTGTGCCCCGTTCGATTGAGTACCTCTGCAAACACCGGGTTACGGCCCCACCGACAGCGGAAAGACCGACCGGGACCGGGCCCCATACTTCGGATCGTGGGCCCGTTCCCGTCATTATACACCGACGCGCCACATAACTTCAAACTGCACGGCGCCATTTCCAATTTCCCGCCTGACCCAAATGATTTCGCATGGAGCTCGCCGAAGATGCACATTGTGTTTACTTTGCGTACTGAAGAGTTACGTCACAAAACGCAAACGGCAACGGTCTCGCGTCGCCTGCTGAACCTGCCTTGAAGGGCGGCTGCAAGGCAGGCGGCATTCCCCCCTCGACCCATCCGTTCTTTCCTTCAAACAATTCAACACTTTAACACATTCAAAAATCATAATAGACCGGCTGCTCTACTAGCCTTCCAATCAACAGTTAAAAGTGGTCCATGAGACAGAAAGAGAACCAAAAAGAGTTCACCCCTCCCGGTGGCGAGCTGGGGGCTACGTTTCTCGGTGCATATCCTGGAACTTGCACACGGGACCTCTAGCCTTCACCGATTAGGCTTGTGGACTTGAATCACTCCACCACCCAGCCAGTTTTGACCTGACCCCCAAAGGGGCGCCTGCTGGCTGGTGACAGGAATTGCGTTGAGGGGGGTAATAAAGGCTTCTTGTGGTCGGTACGTCATGTGGCCATTTGATGCCTTGGAATAAACAGAGGATAGTTTAGCCGTCTACCGAGTAGGCTACTAGTGAGTTTTTAATGCAGTTTCTTTCTAAATTCCACCGCACTCCCTTGCCTGATCCGTCTCCTTCTATCGTCCTTCAAGCCTTTCCCAACAAGTCAAATGCATCGCGGATCACATCGTTCTCGTAGCTGAATCTTTCCAGGTCTTCCGTGGTCTCTGCCACCGCCGTCAAAAGAGTGATGATTAGCACAGCTTCTTGTAGGATAGATCAAGGGTAATCCTCACGCGGGACGTCACCGTCAAAGTACTGCCGCTGCTCCTCGGAAACACGGGTCGGATCCCACTGATGCTGTGATGACGCGGTCTGCGTCGCGGCCACGCGCTTCAGTCGCAGCTGGTTGAACATATCCAGTCGGGTCGAGATCTCGTCTTTCGAGGTCATATTTGACAATAGCACGCCTAGCGCCGCTGCGTCCTCGATCGCCATGGCTGCACCTTGAGCGCGCACTAGGTGGGCACAAAAAATCATCGTCAGCCTTCATGAAGACTCTGAATTGAAGAGTTTTGCTGATATCTGCTATTGTTACAGTTTCCTCTGCTTACCTGGGGGCATGGGATGCGCGGCGTCTCCTATGAGGACCACCCGGCCCCGGACGAGCCTGTCGAGAGGCTTGCGGGTGAAGACTTTCCACTGTCCGACGCCTCTTGCACGACTGTGATGAAGAAGAAGAAATTGCATTGGTCAATGAGACTTCCAGGCTTTGAATAGTCGGGACCTTGAAACTTACGTGCAGATGGATTGCACAGGTTTCGGAAACTCCTCGACAACCTTATAGACAAAGTCGTCTCTTACTGAAAGGTCGTTGCCTTGGTAGTAGGAGGTGAGTAGAGAGCCCCCCTACGAACGCTTGGCCTGAGAGTCACTTACCTTCTGAATCAATGGCTAGTTCAGGAGGGTACAGCAAGCCGATGTTTTGGAGAGAGCCACTGTGATTGAAGGAACCATTAGCCTTAAGCGATACGAGGGGGGGTTAACCTGTGCAACACTACCCTCGGCATCCGTAGATAACGGCACTTCGCATGGTACCATAGCTGATACGGATCGAGGCCAACCCATCTTTGAAGAACGCTACAACTTCCGGGTCATCGCGGAGGTCCTCTACGGGGGCCATCAATCGGAGCATCGACATGTAGTGCTGCGCTTCCGGGGCATCGTCCACGACCTTTGAGATGAAGGAAGACTGGAACCAAGATCAGTCATCATTGGGCTCTTCATCTCGAAACATAGCTTTCGGGGAGTTCATGATGGGAACGTACTCGTATGCCATCGGCCGCGATGATTAGATCCTTCTGGACGCTCGCATCACCTTCAAAGTGTATCGTTCCGTCGATATCAACGTCAGATACCTTAACGCCGAGATTCAGGCGAGCAACGCTCCTTCTCGTTGGAGTCGGCTCCGTGGCTAGGACCTTGAGCTCATTGTGAAGATCAATGCGGTGGAAAAAGAGCCAGGGGGCGCCGTATCTGGGGGTGTAGTCGGTGCATGTCACCATTCGCGTTTTGTCAATGTTGTTGGGATCGTCGTAGTATAAGTACTTTTTCCCATACATGTTAGCATCAGCAAGGCGGAAATCATTTAATTGTTTAAGTGATCCTGAGTAGTCATGGAGAAACCTACCTTCTCCGCGGTAGTGGCTCTGGCCCGTTCAAAGTCGAATCCGTAGTAGTTGAGCACTCTCGCGGAGTTGGGAGGCGTCGAGATTGCAGCTCCCACCTCGCTCTTGAATTGTGATCTCTCATAAATCTGTAGAAAATCCCAAGGTCTCAGTGGATTTTCGATGAAGGGGGCAAGTTTCATTGTCTCCAGGCTCACCTCGACATCGTGGCCGCTCTCCAACAGGGCGATGGCCGCCATCAAACCCCCAATACCCGCTCCAATGATGCCGATATGAAGTCTCTGGCTCGCTTCCTTAGGATGAAGAGTCTTTCGAGGTGGAAGCCTCCATTTCTCATCTCGTGTGTTGCAATAAGACGTCATGCTGGTGGAAGGTACGGGTATGCTTGGCGGATGGGAGTAAGTCGATGCCAAGACAAAAAGACTATCTTGGGATTTTGGGATAATCAAGCTTGTACGAGCTAGCTTTCAGGAGTAACGTTGGCTTACAAAGAAGATCCTTGACATTTCTTATGTTGACGTAAGACCGCTGCTTCCCTTCGGCTTGGAGGGGTCATCCGGAGGTGGAGAGCCGAGCCGGCGATCTTAGTACGGTACGGGGCAAGCTAGTTCGGCTCCGCTGCACCACCTTCCGAAGATGCTGCTAATGTTACTTTGCACAACTACTCCGGGAGGTATGGACTTCAGGGAAGTGAGGAGAAACGGATTTAATGAGGCGAAGGTGTCGTGCATCTCGTGTAAGTCATGGCTTGACGTTTTAATCAATGAGCAGTCCCGAAATTGTATCGGGTGTCTTTGATACATCTCAATACCTAAAAGGGGAATTAGTTCATGAATTCCTCACTTTGGAATCTTGGAATATGTTCCTCGAAAGTGCTCATTCCATGATACTCAAATCATTGACAGGGAGAAGCTGAGATGCCAAGCTGGTTCAATCCACATTACAATACAATTGAACAATGCTCGGGGAACCGCAAATGACAATGCAAGAACATGGGACCTCTTTCTATATTGATCATAAGGTAAGCTAACCTATGAAAGGCGACACCACACCACAGGCCCCGAGCCAACTAGTGGGATATAGCCGATCGGTGTTCCGTCCCCGGAAATCTACTCAGTTGCCAACTGCCGACTTCAACCAGAAGATCGGGAGGAAGCATTGACACAAACTTCCTGCTCACCGACGAGACACTCAATCACCAAAGTTCGTACTTCACCCTTCTTTCTTCCCGGGCAGGATCTCATGGACCGGACGTCATGAGCCGAATACTTTCCCTAGACCATCTAACAACAAGCAAACCTCCTCAACACCACCCGGCATTCTCAATCCCCTCCAATTCTTCTCAACTATCCCCTTCACCAACCTCATCACACCCACCGTATCCTCAAGAGTCACGTACTCCTCTTCCGCTCCGGTGCCACGCAGTATAAGACAGACATTCCTGTCTAATACCTGATACTCTTGCACATCCTCCTCAATGTCCAACACCAAGACAGCAGTCGCGTCGACACCATATCCTGGCCCGGAATACCGCCTCATACCCGTCAACGTCGATGTCTCCCGCAGAGAAATCCGCCGTCCAACTCTCCAAAGAAGAATACCAGCATCCCGAACAGCAACACAATAAACCCCACACAACGTTCCAGGTTCGTACCGTCTCGCCGCACGAAGAACCCTCCCGGCCCTCCAAACTGCGCTTCGCTCCTCCAGCCCCCCACCGCTTCCTGAATCCATTCTGTTGATACGTTGCGACAGCGGAGGTGACACACCAGCACCACGCAGTTCATCCCCATTCAGCGACATCGAGATATACATATGTAGAACCTCAGACATCATCTCCACGCCAGAGGATACCTCCCACCCCGCCGCTCGGAAAGACGAATCAAAGAGCTTGAGCATCGAAGTTAGCTCCAACCGCCGCGAGGATAAGATCATGGTGCTCCATTGCCCGTGGCCGCTGATAGCCTTCAGCTGACGGCATTCTTCAATGAGCACCCAGAGACCGGCATAAAAGCCCAGGATAACGAAGTCCTCATCGACCATACCCTGGTGGTGTGATCTAGCAACCAGCGTCGGATCACCCATCACCTCCTTCAAAGACAGAACTAGCGGTAGCGAGGAGGCTGCAGAAGAAGAGGAAAGAGATATCGTTGACCCTGGAGTCAACCGCCTCATCTCCTCCCTCCATCGCACCGCTGACTCGGCTCTCCACACCCTCCCCGGCGCAGGAAAGGGAATCCTCATGTCCCCGTACCTCGCCATACCCCTGATCCCATGCGCCATACCGACATGGCTATCCATGATATAAGCAGCATACACTAGCCTCCTTCTCGCCTCGCGTGCAGACCATTTCAGCCAAACGTCCTCAAGCAGCCCATCATCCAGTGTAGAAAGATTCTGGAGCTGATAGAGGGTCTGGTCCCCCTCCATCGCCCCCTGAAGATGTCCACCATTCTTGATCATCACCTGCATACACCCAGAACAGGCCTCCGCAAAGGCAACTTTACGCTGGACGCCGCTGAAGAAGGCGATTTGCTGCTGGAGGAAGAAGGCCTGGGATCGGCTTATATCGCAGAGGTTGGCGTTGTTTTCTTCCCACTATCAATCTCATCAGTAACTCAACAATGGGGGAGCATGTTTCCCTTCCCGTTCGGAAAATGAAAAGAGACATCGAGGAACGCCAAGGAAGACACTTACACTCCGAAAAGAAGAAACCCTCACAACATCCTGCATCGCGTAACCAAATTTCCTTGCAACGGCCGAACCAGCCCTGACGGCACCCATTGCGGCCAAGGCACCCAGCAACTCCGGACTCTGCCGGTCAAGCCGCAGCGTAGGAAGATGCACTACATCGTTGATCCTGGCATCCGTCGACGGAGACGACGGGACTCCCCAACACTCGCGAGCATACACGTCTAGAAGCGCGTCAAGCGCTCCGACTGACGGGAAAGCAGCCAAGACGGGCCCAGCATTGGCGCGAGAGGTGTTGTCGAGAATCATACCGACAATGGCGTCCCGCGCCGCTGTCGAGAAGGATAGACCGGCAAGACCACAGCCACCATCATCAAAGGAAGGTGCTCCCAGCGTCCGCGGTGTCCTCCCAGCCTTCAAACTCTCCTCGTCCGCAGCGAGGTGCGGCCTCTCCATCTCGCTGTTCTCGCTGCTCGAAGGCTCCCAGGACCCCGTACCGCGGCTCTCCGGGGTTGTGGGAGGCGACATGGGCAAGCCGCCAAAGCCTTCGACGTTGCCGTTCCGCATCTCCTCCCCAGGAGCGGATTCCAACCCATCCGTCACAACTGCATCTGTCCGAGTCTGCAGGTACGTCAAATCCGTCATTGCGAGATCCCACTCCGCGCCAAAGAGGAAATCCTCATCCATGACCGCGTCGAGGATATCTTGGCCAGCCAGCCGCGTTTGCGTGTACTCCTCTTGTATATACACAGCCTGATCCTCACGCAACGAACCAGAACCGGCCCCGACTTCAACGCAACTCTCCCCCTCAACCTCACACAAAATTCCCCGTCCAACACACCTTGTACAAGGCTTCCTCTCAGAACACTTTACCTTGGCAACCTTACACCCCTTACAGGCCAGCCTAACCCGCTCGCTCCCTTCAACCTCCAACGACAACACATCATCGCCCTCCCCTTCCACGACAGCCACCGCCGTCTCATACTCAGACCCAGGCCTAGCTCCACCACCGCCACCACCACCGTGCATATTCCCCTCATGCCTCCTCAAAACATCGAACCTTCCAAACCCCTTGCCGCAGATTCTACACATATACGGCCTCTGCTTGGTATGCACAGACCTGACATGGCGGGCGAGGTGCTCCGTACGGTGATAACGACGTCGACATCGAGAACACTGGTAGAGAGCTTGTCCCTCCCCTTCTACTTCTCTGCCAGTCGTCATCGTACGAGGTTTCGAAATTCCAAGATGTCAAAAGATCTGAACGTGGACCCTACTGACACATAGGGTTCGCAAACGTGAAAGTTTATGATAGTAACGAGAATAAGCTTCACCCGTTTGGCATGTAAAATCAAAACTCAAGACGAACTACCAAACTCACAGGGATCCTTTACTGCTCAGGGGACACAGGGTTATCGGCTGTGCCCAAGTCGGCGTTTTCGCCGGACCAAACACCGACCACCCCAGCGGACAACCATGCCCGGATTCGGCCCATCGGTCACCCTCAAACTCCGTTATCCGATCATTCTTTTTCCCTCTCGGACCCGGCCCGCAGCCCACATAGCGGGACTAGATGCAGACGGCTGACAAGACTGCCCGCATTGAGTGATTTTACACACATCAAATTATCAATGCAGACACCAGCGTCCAATGCGATGCTAGCCGCAGCAAAGCACGTCCGTAGATCTGCACCATATTAGTCTCGACTCCCACAAACCCGGTTACACCGCAGCCTATGCGAGAATGGATGGCGGATAGCGACTTTGACAAAACATGTTTCCATTGATGCAAAGTACCCTGCCGGGTACGGGTATCCTCATTTCCCAAAGCAAGAAAAAAAGCTAGTAAACATGTCGAGGACTTCTCGACCCCCTCTTACATACACATGCACACGCCCCGCCATGCTACCTGCCTAAAGCTTCCTACCACTATGCAACATCTCCTAGAACTTTGATAATGGCTTGCGTGGCCCCTTTCTCCTCGCGGCGGATCTCGCAGGCATCGAGCTCGAAGGAACGGGTCGACCCGTAGTCGCCGTCTTGGCTGTGGGTCTTGCTGTGGGTCTTGCTGCCGGCACACTCTTCGCTCGCGGGTTGGCCTTGGGTGGCTTGTTCTTCTGCACCCAACCGGGCCCATGCGGAAGACTACTGCTGTTGTTCTCCTCATAGTCCTCATCAACGTCGTCTTCCGCATAATTCTCCTCCAGGGGCGAGCTAGGCGGGCTCGAGGATAAGGTAACTACCTGTGATCCAGGAGGAACCACGAATGAAGAACCTGTCCGGATTCGCTCACGTAGCAGACGGGGCTTAACGTCCTCCGTCTCGATGAAAGACGAGGGCGCTGACTTGGCAGTCGGCTTGGGATCGGGCAAGTCTGGTGATTCAGAGAAAGCCAGTCCCTCTGGCTGGCTCGAGGTGGGAAACAACGTCTTTTGTGTCTTTCCGAATTCCTGCGGCGTCTCATCGTCTTGCACATCGTTGTCTTCGTCTTCATCTGCCTCGTCGATTTGGCGCATTGCGGCTTCATACTCTTCATCGCGGGACACAATAGACTTGCGTGACTCTATCACCGACAGTACCTGTGACTTGGATGGACTTTGTGTGTTCTTCTGCGAATTTTTTTGCGAGGCTGTCTTGAACAGGCTCTCTAGTGACGGAAGAGAAGACTTCTCGCTCGAGTTCGGCTCAAGAGTATCCTTCTCTCTGGTCGGCGTATGGACCTGGGGTCTTGGAGTCGAGGCATCGACAGAAGGAAAATCATGGCCATTGTCGCTCATCTGCTGTATGTCGTGTTCTCCCATATTGAAGCCAAAGTCGTCCGGGTCGACTTGCCGACCACTGGGAATACTACTCATAGATGACGGCGGCTGAACACTCCCGTCGTCGGTGACCCCAGTACCTGCATCTCGGCTGTTATCCGGCGCTGAAATAAAATTCTTCACAATACTCTCTTGGGATAGCGGGGACTTTGAAATCACACGGGGGTATTGGCAGCTTCCAACTGGTCTAGTAATTGGCGGGAAGGGCTGCTAGTCTTGCGGTGAATGACTGATGGTGATACATCTTTGCGAAAGCCTGCTTCTTCGATCATGATGCTGATCTCATGGCGACGATTCGATTCGATGGAGAGGACATTGCCATTGGAGCTCTGAGTGCCGTTTTCTGTTGTCGGCACCGTATTATCGTCTTTCGGCTGACTTTTGGCTCGGGGGGTAGGCATATCGCTTTCGTCCATGTTGTGGTCATCATGTTCCAAGTGTACACCGGGGTGACTAGACTCATCGCCCTCTGCGAAAGCATCAAGACGGGGGTTACTGCCCGCGGCGACTTGAGGCTGTTGTGTATCCGTATTAGCCCTGGCTCGACTTCCCTTTGCATCGACTTTTGACTGACTTCCAACTTCACCCACCTCAGACTGACCAGAAATTTCTCCGTTGAGCTGGGACGGCTGACTTTGGCCATCGTAAATGGTTTCATGAATGACGCTGTCCGTAGGGCCACTTTCGCCATCCGAGGCACTCAGTTTCTCGTTCTCGTCCGCTTTTGTGACGTCGTCCAGGGGAAGCTGCACGATCTTGGGCTCGATCAGTTCCAGATAATTCACACGTCGATGTCCCTCTTCGACTTCGTCTTCCGCATCTTCGTCTTCGTCATCATCGGGGGCCTCGAAGCGATCGTATACCCTTTCTCCAGTCTCTTCGTCGTATGTCTTCTCGGTTCGATCGACGCCTCGATCGCGATGAGCCAATATGAACTCAAGATCGGATGCATCCTCATCGTAGATCCTGACGAGCACACCGGTCAAGCTCACTACTTGGGGTTGCCAATTGGTTTGCGATGACAACGCCAGTTGCTTCCAAGTGATGACCATGCCGAGTTTGGCTTCTCCTGGACGAAGGTCCTGAAGACTAGACAAATCGGACGGAAGTGAAGGAAGGTCGTCAATGTCCGTCGCCTGGCTCTCTTCGACAGGTTTCTTAGTTACCGGCGGATCGTCAGACGGATCATCATAATTGAGTGTCGTGTCTCCCTCTTGAGCAGACTCAACCGCGTCGGAGAAGGTCACGCCGAAGCTTTCGTCGGTTACGCGACGCTTCTTCGACGATTGAGAGTCGCCGCCTTCGTGATATTGAGCTTGATCGCGCTGTACGCGCTTACGTTTGCCCCCGCGCTTATTCTTCGAACCGAACCATTCTTCCACCTGCTGTTGAGGGTCCCAACGCTGGACGAAAGGGAAGGGCGGTTCCGACAGCTCGACGCCGTCGTGGCAGCATTCTACGGCTCGGTAAGCGATTTTCTCGCGCCAGACTTCGGAGCCTTCCTCTACCGATTCTTGGGTCTGCGCGGATTCGCTAGGCTGCGAAGCCCCTTCCGACAGACGAGCGTTGGTGTGAGGTCGAACACCTTTCATCAGGTCTTGACGAATCTTGTCTTCGTCAGCCTTGTTCTTTGGGTTCTTGAGACCCAAAGATCCCATGAGCATGCGGCGGGCAGCTCCAACATTAGGCTTCATGCGCCGCTCAGAGGCAGCTTCCTGCGCGGAAGGGCTCTGTGAAGTCTCCATCATGTCGATGTCGGCGTCGGCAGTTGATGCTGCGCCATCTTGAGGTGCTGAGTCAGGTATCTCCAGTGACTTTTCCTGGCTGGCTTCAGCCGGGCCGTCGGATGCGAGGGCGTTAAGTAGGGCTTGCTTCCGTGCTTGAAATGCTGCCAGCTCTTCAGACATACCCGCCGGGAATAACTCTGCGCTATTCGCAGCCGATGGGGAGCTCTTCTGGACGGCCATTCTCTTGGCAAGTTTGCGCCTGGCATTCCTCTTTTGCGTCTTGCTCAATCCCTGACCAGGAGGTATATCAGGCTGCTCTTGCTTGGGTTGAGCTGCAGCGACGGGTGCGGCTCTAGGCAACTTTAGAGTCTCATTGGGTCTGACCGTGTCAAACAGAATCCGTTGGCTAGAGAGGGTTTTGCTAGGAAGCTCCTCAGGTTCAGAATCCGAGCTAGAATCTTCGCTGCTGCTGTCCGAAGATGAATCTGATGACGAGTCTGATGAGACCTCGACAATCGCAGCCTGTCTGGCAGACAATCGCTCCTTTACAGATACAACACTTGACTCATCGCTAGAAGAACCGTCCGAACTCGAATCGTCGTCTGAGCTCGAGGCTTCTTCTTCAGCCGAGTCTGAGTTGTCTTCGTCTATAACAGGTCCGCCACCTTCCACCTCACTCGATTCGTCGTCGGATTCGTTCTCGGAAGAGGAGGCCACTGAATCATTGTCGGAAGTATTGCCCATCTCCTCATCAGACTCAGATGTTGCGCCCTCGGAGCTAGATTCGGAGTCCGAGTCTGAGACATCGTTACTACCAATCGAAGCATGATCAGCGTAAGCATTGTGGTTGAGAGTCTCTGAGGCTTCATCACTATCGTTCTCGTCCACATCCTCGTCCTCCTCATCCTGGCCATGGGATGTGGCGTGAGAGGATCGCTCAAGTGGACTCGATTCCCGTAGAACGAGCTCACGTCCCGTGTTCGAGTTCGCGTGCCGGATCGGACTGCTAGATAGGCTCCTTGCCTGATGGTCCAGAGTCTGCTGTAGGCTGAGACGGGGTTCGAAAGTCTTGTCCAGTTTGCGGTAGGCTCGTGCGGAGTTTGCACTGTACCTCAACAGGGTCCTTTCGATGGTGGAGACCCGAGCGCTGGGAAACGCGGCTCTCAGAGCTGCAATCTTATCGAGTGTATCCAGGTTTAGCTGGAACCTGTTCGACCTCCCTCCAGATCTGACCAGCGCGTTGCTCGCTGACGGCACTGGAGAGTCATCAGACGTCTCCAATGAGCGGCTGCTGCCAGCGGTTCCACTCGACGTTCTTCTGTCTCTGATGTTCCGCAGCTCTTCGAGAATATCGCCTTCTCTAACAGCGGCATTGTCTTCGCGGAGCATGCGGAGCTCATCCTGGATATCGTCATTTTCCGAATCCATGCCCTCATCATCGTAATCGTGGGCGGCGGGCTCGAAGTCGTCCTCTTCCTCTTCGGAGTCGCTACCTAGACCTGCGTCGTAGAGTCGTGTACGTAGCTGGACGCTAGAAGGGTCGTCCTGTGCTCTCGTGGATTCGTACTCCAGCATCGGCCGCTGAACCTCAGCTTCGGATGGGGAGTCTTCTTCGTCTTCACTTGTGTATGTGATGCGAGCCTTCTTTCTGGGGGGAAGGGCGACGGTAGGGCGGTCTCGGGGGGCTCTGAGCCATGGGCGTCCGAAAGCGAGGCCATCGACGAGGTGCTTTCCGTCAGCAGAAATCTGGTGTCGGCCGCTGAGTCGTCGTCTCTTCAGGTCGCCGGTCAGAAGGGGGCGGATACTAGCAAGTATTAGTTGTCGGAAGGCACGTGGATTTGGGTACCTAAGAACCCACAGAACTTGGTCATCATCCTTGAGGACCTTGGAGACAAGGTGGTAGTGGACGCATTCGAAGCCGTCGCCAGAGGCATCCTTAAGCTCAACGGCGTAGTCTTCCAGACCCCATTCGCCGCCCTCGAGGGGAACGACATCGTTGACCTGGGTAAGAAGCTTCGAAATGGTGAGATCTTCGTTGGCGGTGACGTTCCAGAGAAGTTTGACATCAGGCACACCGTGGCGTCGAACCACGAGGCGCAAACGCAAGTCCTTCTCCATCTTCGCCGAGTTGATTGATTTTCTGCGCCGCGCGCGATCTATTCCATGGAGGGTATAGTTCGCTGAGTTCGCTGAGTTCGCTGCTGCAATGTGATCGAGGTCGAGAAAGAAAAACAAGATGAAAAAGTAACCAGAGATCGGAGGCTGAAATAGAAGGGTTGGATGTTGGCGACCTCAATCAGAGAGCTCTGAAAAGAACATGGAGAGCCGCCCAGGATTGAAAGGGCCTCTGGGTTGAGTTGACGCGCATGGGGAAGGAGAGCTCCAACCGCGACTGACGCAAAATTCTGGAAGGTGGGGCCGGGCCGTTGCGGTGCCTCCAGGGAGGTGCGGAGGACTCTCAGCCGCACTCTCGCCCTCCCAGGCTTCCAACCTCACCTCCCTTTTGGCCTCATTCGTATTTAGCCTACCTAAGCAACATGCGTGGAATGGCCTTGAATCCATGTTTCTGAACTCTGATCACCTGTCAAGACAACACCCTTGTAAGAAAGTATGCAGCAAGCCGTCATTTTCGACGATTCTGTTCACGCACTACCTAACACCAAGGTAACTATATACCTTGGGTAGACATATCTCAAGCTGAAGTATATGTATCTGGCAGATGCCTACGTCGCATGCAGATAAAACCAGCCGCCGTCTCAATGATCTTTTCCCATACATTGCCATGAGTCCAGTTATCCAACGATGCTATGAACATTTCCAGTCGTCGGGGATCCCAGCGGACAAGTATGCCAAGTACGCCAATATCCCAGGTATTCGTATCAAACAAATCCGAACGCCGTTATCTACCATATGCTTGATGATTCTCAACCATGTTCGTCACCTCCTTTCGTTCAACATCAGCTCCCTGGTATCAGCCTAAGATATTCCTTGCGCTGCCTTAGATACTCCTTAATGGGGCATGCCGCCCATGTCAAGCATATGTCCCATCTTTTCAATCTGCAAATTTCAGTCAGCTCTAGCAACTTGGAAACAATCAAAGCAGAACAAAAACGTACCTTTGTCTTCAAGTACCCCTCAACCTCATTGCTCCGGAACCCGCCCCGGCCCTTCCACGAAAGCGGCACCATCGCAACGCGCTCCGTGACCCTCACCTCGCGATTCGGGCCCTCGACTGCCCTAATCTTATCAGGGTTGTTCGTAAGCAGGCGCACCTCGCTCTGACCAAGATCTTGCAACATCGCCGTCGCCAACCCATAACTCCGGGCATCCGCAGGGTGACGCAGCAACAAGTTCGCCTCGACGGTATCCGAGCCGAGATCCTGGAGGTTATACGCCTTCAACTTCTCCCCCAGACCGATACCGCGGCCCTCCTGGCGCAGGTAGATAATAATGCCACCATTGGTATTCCCCGGCAAACTCATCAACCTCGCCGCCTCGTCCAGCTGCTCGCCACAGTCGCACCGCGCCGACCACGCCGTCTCACCCGTGTAACACTCGGAGTGAATCCTCACCAGCGCAGGCCCGCGCTGCAGCGAAGGCGGCTCCTCGCCGACGGGCGTCGCCACGCCGCCGGGCATACCGCTCGTCGAGCGTCCGGGGAACAGACGCCCCGTATACGCGCCGCGAATCATGCGGTCCATCTCCGTCTCGCCCGGCCGCGGCGCATCGAGCGACTGACTGCGGATGTGGGGTCCAAAGACGATGGCCAGGTGCTCCTTGTTGTCGACGTTGTTGGTATACAAGTGCAGGAACATTTCTGTGCCGTTGACGGTGGGGATGCGCGCGCGCACGATGCACTGTACATCCGGCAAGGTCTCGAGGAGGCGGGGCCGCTTGGTGCCGCAGCCGCCTGAAGGGACGGAGCTGTCGACGGGGACGCCGCGCGGGGCCGCCTCGGTTGTGAGGGGCGTCGATGTGCCTGGCGTCGCGGGCGGGGTGAAGGCTGGCGAGAGGAGAGAGGGTGGCGGGATCTGTGTGGCCGAGGTTGTTGATGCGGCGTCGTCTTCGGCTGTTGCGGGGGCGGCGACGGCGGCGGCGGGGTCGGAGAGGCTCAATTGTTCGGGCTCTGGGTGCGCGGCGGCCGACGCATGGTTTGATGGGCCGTCGACTGTCTTCGTTTTCGGGGAGTAGAAGGAAGGGAGCTGGTGAGTGTCTTCGCGCCAGTCGTTGGGCGCTCCCGCGCCGTCTGGCTTGCCTTCGAAGTCGGGCATGGCGGGGGTTTTTGGTGATGGAAAGTCGCGGAAGTGGGGGGGAGGGAATTGGTGTGCAGAATACCAAAGTGTGTTGGAGCGTGAGACAGCCAATTCCAAAGGAGGATATGCGTCCACAGGGTATAATGGCGGAGGAAGTGATTCAAAAGGTGGTTGAAAAGAAGCCAGATGTCAAGAGCGGGAGAGAGATTCAACGGCGGAACAGCGGCGTGAGCGGCAAGAACATTAAATCGGTGACCGGTTCCGCTCCGAACGGCGAGGGGTGGTGAAATGCGATGGTGGTGGGCAGGTGGTGGTGGTGGTGGCTGGCTGGCTGGCTGGCTGTTGGTGAATTAGTCATGCAGGAAGATGATGACAGCACGGGTGCATCTGCGGCCTGCCATGGCAATCTGCGTGTGAGTCGGTTGAGAACCTCCACAGGCAGCGGAAGTTCCTAAGCCAGTGGGTAGCCCTTCGCCGAGGTTCCAGCGACCCGACGGGTATGGGCCTTGGGGTGGGCGCGCGCGCGCGCGGAGAGTTCGGGGTGATGGTGCTATCCTCCTTGCTTAGGTCAGAAAATCAGATTCCAGCCCACTTCAGCGTCTCCAACTTGGATTTCAGGGTTTCTTTAGCGGGTTCGGCTTTTTTTCCGCGCTGAGCGTTTTGCACGCAGCCTGTGGGGCTCTCCTGATTACATCATCAAATCCTGGTATCGGCAAATCCAAGTTTGGTTAGGACCTCTCTGTCAAGTGCACTCTATGCCCTCACTCTGAGGATCGGGTTGATTAAAATCCAGCAGTGCTCTGGTCGAGGCGTCATTCCATCTCTTGTTACATTCTCCTACATAGTACTGTACTTGACAATTCATATACCTTTCTCCATTCACCTCAGTCTTTCGTCCTTTGTTGAGAGTGACAGACGGAGAATAGCATCCTGAAAGATGGACCAATCAAGTGCTCCGTTCCCGCCAAAGCCTAGGATGTCTGCGTCAGCATTAAAAATCAACCGCGCGGTGCCTCAGACCAAGCTCTCCGTAACCAACGAACCACCCGTCGTCGGCTCCGACCTGAGCTCTTTCAATTAGGATGCGTCACGTCTAACATGCCGAAAAGCCATTAGAGTGCGAGTACAAAGATTTCCATCCGATATCCTATTGTCCGGTACGTCGCGGGTTCCTGCATCTGTGCATCTCAGGTCTTGTCTATCCCGGCCACATCCCTGGTAGCCATCACAACTTTAAATGCAGCTACATGGCGAGTTGAGAGCTTTTATCTGCTATAGTTGACTGGTGTCATCCACCTGGTCCCTCTCATAATCTTCCTTATATGGGGGGAGCTTGGTGCTGATGGTTTGTTGAATCTGGAAATTGGTGACGAGGAATTCGCCGGTTAACACATGATCAATTTCGTTTCTAGTTACCTTTATCTTAGGTACTTAAGTATCCTGCCAGACTTTTTAATTTCCATCACGTATAAACAACATCGAGAGAACCAACAAAGAGGTATCGTGGTGGTGACTGTAGCCGTGGTTGTAGTAGGTAGAAGAGTGTGTAACCAAATTCAGACTCGAACTCTGATATGCGTGTTGTTTGATTGGCCCGCACAGTTTTCTTCGCTCCTTCGACTGTTCTTCAAAGGTCCTTCTTTGATGGCATTTCCTGAGGTTGGTACCAAGCGCCTACATCGCGCCAGGAGTGTGGCCACCTCCACCAAGGTGAGTTCCAGTGATGACTTTCTCATACCTATCTCGGAGCTCTGTCTGACTTGGCTACATGTCTTTTTCTCAAAAGAATCATCTACCATGGTCTTGCTGGAGTTGAAAAGTTCATACACAACTTGCGCGGATTGGCCAAGTTGCCGAACCAATAAACTCACCGCATCCTGCTAACGCTCCTCGCCGAGACAACCAACGCGAACGCGCATCGAACCAAAAACTCTCGACAGGCCACTTGCATTGGTGGTTCGCGTTTCTGGATGTGCTGTCAAACGTGAGTCATATTCGCAGCAGCCCCCATCATCACCCCATGCAACCCCGTTTCGTTTCTCGTCTCTTCCCGTCTCAATCCAGCTCTTCCCATCACCGATTCGAGATGCCATGCCCACCAGCCCGTGCGGGTGGCGCGGGAACCATTGGCTTACACCCTCCCGTCCCTGCTGCAACCACTTGTCGCCTTCTCCCGAAGTCTCCAGTCCCTCATCCCGTTTCAGTCCCTACCATGCCAGATGCCAGGCATCTCATGGGGAGTCGACTACCTCCAGGCTATGAGGCTTCTCTTCACCCCCTTCTTTTGTTTACTTTCGGGTTTGCGGTTCAAGTGATCCACCCAAACTAATGCGACGGCCTAGCGGTTCGTCGAGGCCTCATTGTTTCTTGTTTCTTGTTGTGGCCAGCACGCCGCCCTCGTCCAGTGGAGTGCTCTATGCAGCCGGGATACGAAAACATCGCCAACTGGCAGGTCCCTCACACAACCACACACACACACACACACACACACACACTCTCTCTCTCTCTCTCTCGAGTGATATAAGAGGATCAAGTGACTTCTTCGTCTCACTGCTTTTTTCTTCTTGTATCTCAAAAAAAAAAACAAGAATCTGCAGCTCATCTGACAAATACTACACCACTCATTTCGAGGACCTCGATAATACCGGCTACTTTCAAGGTCACTAAAGTAATAGAGTATCTTACTCATCTCATCGCCCAACCTTCATTCAAAAATAATACTTCATCCCGCACTTTCGTTGTCTCACTCGACAAACGCCAGCTTCACTTCATCGACTGAACTTCACTGCCTTTTACAATCTTTAACCATCACCACAGCGACAAAACAAAAAACAACTACAAGCAACCCGCAAAAATGGAATCCTCCAACGTAATCGCCTGGCTGCTCCCCTCCTCCACAAACCAACCAGCCCTCGAAACAATCCGCATGCCCCAAAACGCATCCCGAATCGTCTCCACGATCCCCTCATCCTACGAACCCATTATCCAAACACCCAACCCAAGCCAACTCCCACCCACGACACCAACAATCGACCCCTCCCTCCTCACCAAATCCTCCTCCTTCGAGGCATCTCCCACCAAACCCCGCCCAGCACTCTCTCTTACCTTCACATCACCACCCAAATCCAACCCAGGCTTCATCCTCGGCACCGACCCCTCTCTCGCAGACATCCTCCTCCCCTCCCTTCCAGGCATCGCCCCAGCCCACTGCCACATCACCTTTGACGCCTCCCACCGCCTCGTCCTGATCGACACCTCGCAGACCGGCACAGCCGTCTGGTACGACGGCGCCAGCACCGGCGACCGCACCCGCGAGTCCTGGGTCCTCAGCGCGGGCAGCACCTACGGCTTCCCCTCCATGGTCGACCGTGTCGTAATCGACATCCAAACCGTGCGCTTCCAAATCATCCTCAACGAAGCGCACGTCCTCCAGCCGGAGATCTACGCCGAGAACGTCGAGACCTTCATGTCAAGCCTCGAAAGCGCAAGCATGCTCACAGAAGCAGCCGCAGCAGCAGCAGCAGCAGCAGAAGAGGAAAAGACACCAAATCTCGACGCCAGCATCCTAGCCTCCATCCTCGCCTCCCACTCCCACTCCCACTCTACCTCCTCACACTCGCAAAAAGAAGACCACCTCGTCCGCCGCGACGAAAAGGACGTCTGCGACTTTTACTACAACTTCAACTTTGACCTCGGCTTCGACCTCGACTACGACTGCGACTACGACTTTGACTATGACATGTCCGACGACGAAATGGTAGACGACGTCGCCGACGAGGACAAGATGGATTTCCTCCCGCCCATCCCTTCCGTCGTGCCGCCCGCGTATGTCAAGTACCTGCTCACCTCGGACGACGGGGCGCCGCCAGAGACGTACCTCTGGAACTCGGCGCGGCCTTGGGAGCCGATGGTCAAGGTCGCTTGCTGAGCTCCCGCAAGGAGGACCATACGTTTTTGTCCAACAGAGACAATAGGAATAGGCGTGAAAAAGACGCAGGAAAAAACTTGTGTAAAATCACGTCTTGGAGTTAACATCTGTCCCAACGGTGCTGGCACTGGAAGGCGTTTGGTTCTCATTCATTGCTTTGGAGTTTTGGCGAGAAGAGGGACTTGGAGCTATCGGCACTTTACACTCATTTTTTGCCCCCTTTTCAAGATTGGCATTATTTCATTTCTCATCTTAATACGCATATTCTTCTCTGTTTTTCTTCTCTGTTTCGTTGTACATTTAGAACAGATACCCCCATTCGCATGGCCTCCCGTTCCTTTGTTCATTGTATATAGGATACAACAGCCCAAGAAAAATATCAAAAATCACAGCTGGCAGTCACCGTTTGCATTTTCCAGCTTCTTCAACTCTACTTCAAGTGAACAGGGGGAATATCTGAGAGAGATTTGGGTTGGCTACGTGAAGCTCACTCACCCCGCGGAGACGACACACAGCATTCGCCCTCGCCACATTTGGAGATCTCCGGCAATTGGGGTTGAAGCCGGTTTTGGAGTTTGGGGAAACGGGGTGGGCGAGCTAATGAGGCCAGACCACCAAGCAAGACCTTATCTACCGCACAATCTTATCTCCATCAGACTTTCGACCATGTGCATACGCGCCGATTTGCTTCTCCGCGGGCTTAAGGACCGAGACGACTCTAGCAGTATCTCTACTGGAACACTGAGATATGGATGGAAATTGGCGTTTCGTAGAAATATTCATATCTAGATTACCTCTCCCCCCCTAAACCTGGGAATCCAAATGTTGAAATGTCGATGACTTTTCACCTTCCTGACGGTGCCCTTGACGTACACCCACATCGTAGATAGGACTACAACAAACACCACCAACGACAAAATGGCCACAGACGAAAGTGAACCAAACGAAACCACCACCCTCCTCCCAACATCACCCGACCAACCCTCAATCTCCAAAGCAGACCAAGCCCTAGGCCAATCCCTTCCTCTAGGCGATCGCCTCCCCTACAACGACTACACCACCATAGACTGGCTTCGCGATCTGACAAAAGACTCCTCCCGCGCCCGTCGTCTCCGCGCACGCCCAGGCATCCGCGGCACCGCAGCGTGCTGGTACGACCAGTGCCAGGGCTGGATCGCCGCCGCGATCATCGGCGCGCTCACGGCCCTCGTCGCTTTCGTTGTCGATGTTTCCGTCGCGACGGTGAGCGATTGGAAGGAGGGGTACTGCAGGACGAACGTTCTTCTGGACCGTGGGCGGTGTTGTTGGGGGGTGTCGGAGACGGAGGTTTGCGATGCGTGGAAACCCTGGGTCGATGAGGGTGGAGGAGGGGGGTATGCTGCCAGCTATGCGTTCTATGTTCTGTTTGCCCTCCTCTTCGGCATCGTCGCGGGCAACGTCACCATGACTACCAAAGCCTCCCTGCCAGCCGTCGACGCCGATAGTGCCGTCGCAGAAGGAGCCATGACGGAGGGTAAGACGATGTACATGGCCGCCGGCAGTGGCATCCCCGAGATCAAGACGATTCTATCGGGCTTCGTGATCCCTCATTTCCTAGACTTCAAGGTGCTGGCGGTAAAAGCGGTGGGCGCGATCTTTGCTGTGTCAACGGGCATGTGCCTGGGCAAAGAGGGCCCCTTTGTCCACATCTCGACATGCGTCGGGTGGCTGGTGGCCAACCGCTTCCCCAAGTACAGGGACAACCCACGCAAGATGCGGGAGATGCTGAGCGTGGCGTGCTCTTCCGGCCTGTCCGTCGCTTTTGGCGCCCCGATTGGCGGTGTGCTGTTCAGCTACGAGGTATGTTTCTTCATGTTTTGATGCATCTGGTCTCGTGGCTCCAATCGGACTGGGGTTGGTGATGTTGACATAAACCACCGTTTAGGAAATCAGCACGTACTTCCCACGACGCGTCTTATGGCGCGCCTTCCTCTGCTCGCTCATCGCAGCCATTGCCCTCAAGGCGCTGAATCCCACGGGGACGGGGAAGTTGGTGCTCTTCGAGACGAGCTATGGAGTCGACTATGACCCGGTGCACTACCTAGTGTTTGTGATGCTGGGTGTCTGTGGCGGTGTGTTCGGCGGAGTGTTCTGCAAGGCCAACTTTCTTTGGTCCCAACGTTTCCGCAGATACGACATCGTCAAGAAGCATCCCGTGCTTGAGTTGTGCTGTGTTGTCTTGGTCACCGCTCTGCTGCAGTACCCAAACGTGCTGATCCGCGACACAGGCGACGTGGCACTCTCGAGGCTGCTGGTTGACTGTAAGGAGCCAAACGGCAACTGGATATGTCAGCAGGAGAGGAGCAATGACAAGACAGCGTACATGCTGCAATTGGCAGGCGGCACAATTATCAAGTTGCTTCTGACCATCATCACCTTTGGGTGTAAGGTGCCCTCTGGCATCATCATCCCCGCACTCGACGGCGGCGCTCTTTTCGGACGGTTGGTAGGTCAGTTCGTTGGTGGGATTTCACCCGGAATTTTCGCAATGGTCGGCGCGGCAGCCTTCCTCGCAGGCGTGAGCAGGATGACTGTGAGCCTGGCCGTCATCATGTTCGAGCTTACTGGCGAGGTGACGTACGTGCCCGCCTTTATGTGCGCCATCCTCACGGCCAAATGGGTGGCGGACGCGATCTCGGGAGAATCCGTGTATGATCTCTCGCAACACCTGCTGGGCCATCCCTTCCTCGATGCGGAGCAAGCCCATGAGGTGGTGCGTAAACGTGAAGCGACCGCCCGTGAGTTGGTGCCCCCGGCCGGGACGATGGAGGAGATCACTCTGCGGGTAGGCAGCGAGTATCGCGTCCGCAGGGACGTGCTCTCGGAGAAGTTGCGAAAGCTGAAGGCCAGGGGGCTCATGGATGCGGGCCTGGTTCTGGTTAATGAGGCCGGACTATTGTTTGGCTATTTGCCCGAGGCAGAAGTAGAGTATGCGGTGCTGAATGGCGGCGAAGCGGAGGAAATCGATTTGCGAACTGGCGTCATGACTGAGCTGGTTGATCGAACGCCACTCACAGCCTGCGCCGAGGCCCCCATGGAGCACGTTTTGGAGATATTCGGGAAGCTGGGCCCGAGGTACATTATCATTGTCGAGCCCGAGACGTCCAGGGTGCTAGGCGTTGTGCTCAAAAAGCGACTGTTGGACTTCTTGGATCGGGTAAAGGCGTCTTGATATATCCGCCTGAGCCACTGTAGAGTCTTTGAGTTTAGCGCAATTGAATCAAAAAGCTTAGTTCTACCACATTGTCGTTAATGTTGACCGGCCATCTGGGTTTGAATGGCCAAGTTTTGGCATTGTCTTCGGATAATAACCTGCATGCCCACATACTGTAGCTTGGTCTCGTTAATCTCCCGCTGCGAGAGCGCATGGCCACAGTCGTCTCTCTCACTTCCGTGCTTCAAGATCTCGGTCTCTCGCGATACATCCTCTTCGCAGGGGAAGCATTCCTTGTCAAATTCGTCCCTCGAATATACTCATCATCAGGCCATTTTGGAATCGCGAAAAGACGTGAATTCGGCTCGATCTAAGACCCTCGTGGCAAGATCAACCCCATGCTGCCCTTTTCTGGCCCACCTGGTTCTCAAATAACAGGTTATGTACACAGACGCTCGCCGTCCCAGACTTGTTTCGTTCGTCTCGTCCCGCCTGCCACAGGTCTAGTTGCTTCTCGTTCCCTTCTCCGCGCGCAGCTCGTTCATCTTGGCGACACGCTTCTTGAACTCATCGTACTGGCATTTCTCGTAGCTGTGGCGCTCGTCCTGTTTTCATTGGATTCTAGGTTAGCGACGATATGTTCTCGGATTGATCGGACGGGGCGGCTGTGAGATCGAGAGAATAGTGGCGGATGGTAAGGGCGAGGTAGACGAACATTGCACTTCCACGGGAGGTACCAAGTATCGACACGGCAGCGGTTGAGAGGGATGAGGAGGCCGGCGCAGCTGTCGCGGTAGGGGAGGGGGAGCTTCGCCTCCCGCATCTCCTCGCGGGTCGCTTCTGTAGAGGGATGTCAGCCATTGCGGATGGGTGGATAGCATGGGGGGGGATATGGGGATACGGACCCCTTGGTGCTGAGTCTCCGGCCATCGTGACGACAATTGGGGTCTGTAATGGGCGAATGAGGCTATCGTCGATGGTCAATTGGGATTCTGGATCTTGAAATGTCGTCGGAGCTTTGGATTGGACTGTGGAGCTTCCGACGGTTAATTCCCTTGTGGCCTGGATCGTGAGGCCGCACAACGGTTGATTACGTTTTGGGGGATATGATTGGCTGGGTGGAGTTCCTACCAGCACGGTCGCGCCAGAGTCAGAAAAGGCTCCTTTTCAGTCCTCTTGTCTTTACGAACTTGAACTCTATTACACTACAGAGCACACTACAGGGCACTTTACGCGTAGTTTAACATTGCTGGATGTCGTTACAAACTGTAAGTTATATGTGCTTACATCTTGAATTCGACCACTCTTACGTCCTCTTCATGTAAGGTACTCAGTCTCAAGATAGCCAACATCATAACACACCAAGCATACCCACTTCCCGGACGCGATAGTCTTTCTATTTGGCTATCTCTAATCCCCTGATAAACTGATAAGTTGTGTGGTGAATGGCGAGGTACCCAAGCAATACCGTCCGTGGGGTGGTGGTGAAAGCAACCCTTCAATGCCGCCTGCAGCAACGTAGCATTCCCTGAGTCGATCGTCGGCAACGGACTTCAGTCTGTCTAACCATTTCAACTTATTATCAATGGAATCTGTGCGGTGTTTCTTGCCCTCAAGTACTTACGAATGGCAAGGCGTCTCTATGGATACGGTAAAGATGAATTTCTCTTGAGCCGAGCTGAGGGGCCCAGCATCCGAGACTTTTCTGCACAAGAGCCGATCACTCACAACCAACTTCCATGAATTCGCCAAAACACCTTCCCATTGTCGCAGGTCGGCTCTTGGACCGGGGCAATAGTTCCTGCCGCGCTGCCGATACGTGCCACTCGACCTGGGGCCATCGCCATCTCCCAACGCTCACCTTCCGCTTCCGGCTAACCTGTCGGCCCACGCAACGAACTTCTCATCACCTGCAAATGCCTATCAGAGATCGTAAAGCCGTTCTCAACCCGCCTATAACCCCCGGTCTCATTATGGAGACCTCGTCGCATTTGGCCTTTGGGCCCCGTGCGATGCCGGGGTCGCACCGGGGCTAGCACCTCTCCCGCCAACATCTGGAAAGCTTGTTCCTGTCGAATGTTGCAATGATGTGAATGTCGACAATGTAGACGTATGGGCCGTTGCATATCACGCTGCTTAAGCGGCCCCGATCATCGCCTCGTGTTACCGTGAGATACGGGGTCTGCTCCCTGGACCCTTGTCCAGCGATTCTCTTAAAAGATGCAGCTCCCCGCGCCGTGGTCATAGAGCTGCTGTTCCTGCTTGGTTGACGAGCGTGCCAAGCCAGTCGTTCTGCGTTCTAGAGATCCTCGGCTCTCCGTCACCATGAAGATCTCACTGGCCTTGCTCAGCTGCCTCGCGGTGGCTCAGGCTCACTTCGCCTTCCAGCCCATCCAGCCTCCTCTGAGGGCCGATGATGATGAGGAAGGAATCCTCTCCAAGAGAGAAGCCGGGTTCTTCGAGCAGCTCATCGACCACAATGACCCATCCCTGGGAACCTTCCAGCAGAGATACTGGTGGAACTCCACGTACTGGCAGGGGCCTGGTTCTCCGGTACTGCTTGTTCAGCCAAATGTTGTAGCCATCAGACTAATCAATGGGTCTTAGGTGGTGTTTTTCACACCCGGGGAATCAGAGGCTGCCCCGTATACCGGATACCTCACGGATCGGGCTATCACAGGAGCTATTGCCAAGGCCATCGGCGGTGCCGTCGTCATGGTTGAGCGTAGGGAAACTGCCATTCATACTCTGTCCGAGCTCAAAAGACTGACAATGTCCAGACCGTAACTGGGGAACCTCCCTGCCGTACGCGCTCCAGGATACCAAGAACCTCCAGCAGCACACCATGACGAATGCCGTTCTCGACTTTGCCAGACTCGCCCGCAACGTCCAGCTACCGTTCGACACGAACAGCAGCAGCAACGCCCCCCAAGCTGTGAGTACCAACACCTGGCTTCTGCCCAGAGAGCCGACAAGACTGACAGGCCATAGCCCTGGGTGTACACCGGCGGATCATACTCTGGTGTCCTGGCCGCAGCCATAGCGAAGCTCGCTCCCGGAACCTTCTGGGCCTACCACTCCAGCAGCGGTCCCGTTGAAGCGACATACGACTACTGGGGATACTTCCTTCCCATTCAGAACGGCATGCCCAAGAACTGCAGTCGTGACTTTGAGCGGATCGTCGACCACGTCGACAACGTCTTGCTCACCGGCAGTGATAACGAGATCTACTCACTGAAGAAGAAGTTTGGTCTCCAAGACCTCGCTCACAAAGAAGACTTTGCCTCGTAAGTTGAAGCCGTGGTTGCTCGTAGTGGGTATAATCCTTACATGACACAGTGCCCTGATCGGACCCCTTGGTTACTGGCAGTCTATCCAGCTGTACTCGGGATACTCTGCCTTTTACGAAATGTGCGATACCATTCAAGGTGCCATTGGCAACTTCTCAGCACCCAATGCGACCTACAGCGCGGATGGCGTCGGTCTCCCAAAGGCTTTGAACAACTACGCCAACTGGTGGAGCACAAACTACCTCCCGGGAAGTAAGTGTTCGCTCTCATCAACTGTGTCATTTCGATTCCTGACCCCATGTAGCTTGCGCATCCTACGGCATCGAGGAGTGGTCAGACCCCCTGAACGTCGCCTGCTTCGACAGCTTCAACGCCACGAGCCCCATCTACACCGACTGGAGCGCCGAGAACCCGTTCGGTCGGACGTGGTACTGGATGACGTGCAACGAGCCCTTCTTCTACTGGCAGACGTAAGTTCACAGCGCAGTGATTTCAGTGATAGTGAGAAAGAAGCTTGATGACTGACTGTGAATAGTGGTGCGCCCAAGGATCGACCCTCCATCGTCTCGCGCTACGTCACTCCGGAGTACTACCAAGGCCAATGCGACCTCTTCTTCCCCAAGCAAGGCGAGTCTACCTACGCCTCCAACGAAGGCAAGACAGCGGCGGATCTGAACAAGGCGACCGACGGCTGGTTCTTCACCAACACCACCCGCTTCATGTGGTCCAACGGGTAAGTTATCCAATCGCAATTCGGAATTGCAAAAAAGAGCGTGACTGATTCTTTCATAGCGAGTTCGACCCCTGGCGCTCTGCCTCCGTGTCCAGCGAGCTCCGTCCCGGCGGCCCGCTCCAGTCCCGCCCTGGTGCTCCGGTCCACCTCATCCCGGGATCCCGCCACTGCAACGATTTGCTCGTCAGGAATGGCGCTGTCAATGAGGATATGCAGGAGGTTATTACCGCTGAGGTCGATCAGATGAAGGCTTGGGTTGATACATTCTACGCCTCCAAGGGCAAGTACAGACGCCGTTCTGCACGGCCTCTGTGAGGAGGGCCATCTGGCTTTGGGGTGCACCCAGGGAAAACTTTGCATCTCCTTGATGGTGTGAGATTTTTGAGTAGAGAGTAGTACAAGATCTAATTGAGTACAAGCTTAAACCAAGTCTGTTCCGTTAAGCATCCTCAACTACCGACAAGCACCCTAGAATAGAGACGTAAGTGGGTGACAGAACAATATGCCGGCCTCTACCAACCTACATTACCATCAATTTGTACAATACTAGGTACTTTCTTTCTGACCACTGTGGTCTAAGGTAATTAGATTAAGGTAAGGTAATGAAGGATGTAACAGATGTTGGAGGAGGAAAGCACTAAAGGGAAGGTTGTGTCTTTAAGATACTCAGACGCAAGGCCACAAACGTATAATAATGATGAAACCAAAGAAGACATAGCGAAGGCTCATCAGGTCAATCTTTTGAGACAGTTCTCAGATCCGGGCGACAACCCAGACGGAGATTCAGACGTTAAGTTGTGTAAGCGTGAATCAAACAGGTTTCAATAATCTATAAAACTGACAAGCTAGAGACAATTCTATCAACGTTCGTATCTAATGCGCTTCATGTAATCAGAGTCTTCCTCTGAAAAGCCTGAGACTTTTCGCAACGCGGCTACATTTACCAGGGCAGATCAGTGCCATCGTGGTTCTTGAATGAGCCACTAATCTCCCTGGTGGCCTTGTCAATTGTAGCAACCATATCATCGACGCTCTTCTTCACAGGAATGGCACCAAAAGCACTGAGGTCAGCGCCGGCCTTGGCCGCCAACCCAGCAGCCATATCCGTCTCGACCAGACCAGGGTGGAAGACAAAGGCAGTCAACCACGGCTCCTCAAAGTGCAGCCTGCGCACGAACCAGTTGAGCGCAGCCTTTGACGCGCCGTACGGGCTCGCGGGGCTGGGGATCTGGAAAATCGTCTCGGCGAGGCCCTTGCTGCCAATCGCGGAGGAGATTGCGATAAAAATGGGGTTCTTGGACTTGCTCTCCTTGAGGAGGGGCTTCGTGGCGCCGAACAGGACGAGGGGCGCGACCGAGTTGACGGCGAAGTGGTCCAGGGCGACCTTGGTGGAGGTGGCGGCGATGTCGGCCGAGGTGTGGGAGATGCCGGCGTTGGCGATGACGATGTCGAGGGCGGTGATGCCGTGCTCCTTTTGGATTGTTGCCACGGCGGCGGCGGGGTCGGATTCGACTGAGGAGTCAATCTTGACGACGATGATCTTGGAGCCTTCGGCCTTGGGGAGGTCGTAGAGGGCCTTGGATGCTGCGGCGGCTGGGTCGCGGACGCCGACGATGATTGTTGTTGAGGGGCGCTGAAGGAGGAGGGTGGTGAAGCCCTTTCCGATTCCGCGGTTGGCGCCGGTGATGAGGTAAGTGAGTCCGGAAGACATCTTGTAGGTTGTGTTATCTGAGGAGAGGTGGAGTGTTGTAGTTGAGTTAGTTGTTGCTGGGATGAAAGCTATTGATGAAGTTGAGATGTGATGAGGACTAACTCAAACACCAGAACCAGGCCGAAGAAGACATCTTAAATATCTCGAGTATGTTTAAGTTGACACGTTCATAGTTTCTGATGAACTGACAAATTTGCCATCACATCTCGTGCTCGCACGCCTTGCGGAGTAGCCCATCTTCGAACAGAATCGAATTGTTGCAGAACACCACTCCAAGAGCTTTGCATCTAGTTTCGGGGCCGAGCATAGCGTCTGAATAGATTGATAATCATAGTTCGGATGGACTGCAGTTTTGGGAACGGCAGAGTTCCTGTCGCAGCGTCAAAAGTCTGGGCGGTTGCGCTGTTCACTAATCTAGAAACACCACCAAGAGCTAAGTATGGGGATGGGATTAGTAGTCCGCACCGCTCAATATGCGAGCTCACTTGTATCATTACAAAGCGTGAATCAATTTTAGTGCAAGTTCAATTGTTTATTATTGATACTCATTCGATTGAGCTAGCAGTCGTTTCGAGCTTCACAATTTCGTCTGTCTGATAAGTTTATCTAGTGTTGGGCAAATAACATTCCTAAATGCTTTTCTCCAGGAGACACTTGAAACACTTTATACATGTAGTCTTTCGCAAAATAACATACCTACTTGAACAGAACGGCACAGCAACATACACTGGGCAAGCTGACTCTAGAAAAATGTAGTTTCTAGGAGTTGCGACACTGCGAGAATCTTGACGATGACAATGAGCTTTTAATGTTTGAATGCAGAGATTGGTTGATTTCCCCATTTCTCTCAAAGAAAGTAGAGAGCTTATCGATTCTCTGTAACAAGAAACGATGTCCAGGCTTAAGATACTTGATGCAGACTAGGAACTACATATCCCTATTTCATACACAGTACATCATCAATGTTGCGAACAGATATACCATCCAATAATACAACGCGCCGTTGGATACACCCTCAATACTCTAGAAGGATTCGAAGTGTCAATGGGTTTTTAATGAACAGAAAAGCATTACTGTCATCCGTTCAAGATTCAAGATTCAAGAATCAAGAGAGAGGGTGTGTGTCTCACGCCAGAAACTCAGAGTCGCTTTAATCCTATACTTCCAAAGGCTTTATATTAATGTAATTGAGCAAGCTGATCATGGATGCTGAACCTTCAATCTCCAACTAAACATCTGCGCATCGTGGCCACCTCTTTTTGAGATGCTCATGGCATGGCGGTTTCGTCAATCTGACCAGCCATCACATCGCCTGTTTATCTTGTCTTACCAAGAGACTTGCCTCCTTGGCTACGAACACTTGTCAGAAACTGGTAGAGAGGATGATCAGAAGTTCGTCAGAGTCTAGATGGGGAACGCAAATAATTAGGATTGGTAAGCTGCATCACAGCACCACCTATTATTAGGGTTTAGTGATCAATCCACACCGCAGCTGTCAGCCCCGCCATCGCTTTGTGTTCACTAATCACTCTCCTCACCTCTTTGGCCAGAGAGAATTCTTCAGACGGACCAAATTCCACCCAGCGGAAAGAGGGAAACATCCTTTCTACCTCGGATTGCGCAAGTGCTCGAACTACCCAGTAGTGACTTCTAGATAAGGCTTGATCCTAGTGGCTCAACTTCTAATCAGTATCTTCAACGAGACTGTGCATGCTTGATCACCTTATTGCTGACGAATGTGCCCAGGCCTATGCCCTTGTTTCTTTCTTCGATATGCCACCTCACGTCCACTTCTGATCTACCAATCGTACACACAAGACCGCAGCCCCCGCAGCGCAACAACCGAACAACAGCATTTGGAGTCCTTCCCAAAGACACCGTATCCGTGATGTCTGCCCATCCCCCAACAGCCAGCTTTTTCCAGCTCCAAAGGCGAACAAGGCGATGAGACAGACGATAATGCTCCACAGAAGCCCGCGACCCACGCTTGAGGCAAAGAAGTACGGCAGTAGAGGCATTAGCCCGCCGCAGAGATACCCAAGGGAGATGGACAGGCCCGAAAACATTGGCGATACCTGTAGGCGGCTCGTTTCGATGATGTTAATTTCGACGAAGTTTTCGGGTCGGCTGGCTTGCGCGCCCTTAATCCTCTCCGAAGCCCAACCTGACCCTCCCGATTGAGATCTCACGGCCTCGATCACCATCGCGACGGTCGTCTCGGGTAAGCCTAACGGTTGTAGATACTGGAGCACTACTTCGTCTTCATCTACTGGTTCGTCTGTGCAGCGCTTCTCGTCCTCGGTTTCATCCTCGCTGTGTCTTCCCGCCACTGACAACATGCCCTGTTCCTCCTCATCTACCGGCAGCGACTGCACCCTCCGAGAGTCATCGTGTGAAGAGTCTCGCGCCGCCAGGTAACCTCCAATCCCCATGCTGATACATCCCGCACATAGCTCCGCAAGGCCGGCATAGATGACTGTTTCGCTACGGCCGAGTGAGCTCAGGCCCGCTGTCAGGGCGAATGGCACGGTGAGGCCATCTGAGAAGCCGAGTGTGAAGTCTGATAGGAAGCGAGAAAGCTTTGGAGAGACCATTGCTTAGATGTGTGTCTGCGTTTCGTAGTTGGAGAGTCTCTTGGGGATATGGCCCAACATGCGACAGTCTAAAGGGGACTCGTCGGACTGGATTAAGGCTGTGAGGACAAGTAAAGTAGGTATGCGTTAAATGAGTGAAGCATATGACAATTCGAGGTATTCACATCGGATTCCGGCGATCGAAGTACAAAGCTTGGAGATTCAACCTTTGGAAGCTCAAATTGCAAAGAGACAGGAGGAGAACCCCGGCAATGATACACCGGCACAGGATGGACTGCGTTTTGCCCCTCACGCGACTAAGTCTCCAATTCATAATCGCTCCTGTCCAGGCGCCGTTTCTGCGCTTCTAAGTGGACGATACGGCACAGCCACAACGCATCCAAAAGGTCGGCTGAGAAATGCCGTGATACCCAAATGTTTCTTCAAGTGGAGCAATAGCCGGCATCGAAGTCTAAGAAGGGTGTGAGGAGCAAGAAACATCTGTCAAGACACAAGCTTTCGCCCAGAGGCGATGCCAAGAGCGACCACGTGTGTGGAGTCCGGAGAATATGACCCCTCAATACTCGGCCAATTATTCGAGATGAATTTCTCACCTTCCCGACAAGGAAGGACATTTTGTGGTCTAATGCAGGGATAGTTATTGACGATCTTTTCTCCATTCAATGCTTTCCCCTGCTCGGCCCGTTGTCAATGAACATCCTTGTGGAACAACTCGCCAACATCACGAGGGCTGATTCTGCATGTCATGTACCATCCGGGTGACGAGTCGTTGGAGGCTGCTTGATTGATCTTGTCCAGCCAACTCCGATGCCGTTCTCGTTTCCTCCTCTCTCTCAGCGGTGTCGTTCCTGTAATCTCTGTCACTATCGCGCCTATCGCCTCTATCGCTCCTCTTACCTCCCTCGGTCTTGATACCTCTATCTCTATTGTTACCGATGTTGTTTTTGTCGCCTCTCGTTTCGAATACTTGTATACTCAAATTCGTCTACTGTAGAAGATCTTAATAGAGGTTAGAAAACTGATATATTTAGAGAAAGGAAAAGAACTTCCCTAAGGTACAGAGAACTAGAGAGGCTATTATAGAAATAAAGAATCAAGGTTAGAGAAGACTACTCCTGAATTTTGAATTTACTGGAACTTAGATGGCCAAATGTTATTTCCTCTATCTGGCCTAGCTACTAAAGGCATGTATACTCGAGGTTCTTAGTAACAAAGGTTGTTGTTAGGAATCCCGCATGACTCTAATGTGAAGCAATACTCTGTCCCTAGACCTTTACGGCTTGTAACCAGGAGGCGGGTTAAGTCCGTCCAAAACCTGAACAGTATCTTCGTAGTAAGTAGGAGCTTTGCTGTCTTTCCAGGTCGCCTTAATGGACTCGAGAATCTTCCTGCCCGCCGCATTTTCGTCCATAGCCAAATTTGGCTTGGGGTACTGCTTCGGTGTCTTGGAGTGAAAGAATCCAGCATACGATAGGTTGAAGTAGCGATCGGGCGTTGCTGACGTGTTGCTCCACTGGCGGATAACGCTATTGGTCTTTTTGGCAACGAACTCGTAGACGTTGGCGCCAACATCCCACCTTCCGAGTGTTGGGAGATCCCAGTTGGCCTCGACTGTGGCGAGCTCTGAGTAGTGGTTGTAGAAGTTTGAGTCTGTCGTGCCGACAAGCTCTTGAGGGACTGCGTCTCCCAAAAGGATGCCAAGGATGCGGTTCTTCTGTGTGTAAGTCTCATTCTCATCCCAAGTGACCAAAACCAATGTGTTGTTCATGAAATTCTTGTCTTCGAGCAGCGGCTCAAGGAATTTCCTATTCCAAGCACCAGCAACAGTTACAGACGAATCATGCCCGTCTGATGATAGGTTAGCGGAACAGAAAGACCATTGTGGCAGCTTGTTGGCCTTGAGGTCTTTGTGAAATTGTGATCGCTCCGGGAAGACCATGGACAGGTTCTTGATCTGGGACAAGCGCTGCTCCGAGCTGGCTACGCTGTCAAAGAAGATTGGGGGGTTATGTTTGCGGACATAGTCGTTTGCTCCATTTTGTTGATTCACCCATGCCATGCCTTCGAAGCCGGAGAACGGCATATCTTCCTGGTAGGCTGCCCACGAGATTCCTCGCGTGTCAAGGAGATCAAACACCGTAGAAATGTTACGGTCGGCGCGATTGAAGTTATCGTTGTTCATGCCCAAATAGTCTCCAGAAACCGATGCAAAGTAGTTGGGCTCAGAAGGATGAGTGACAGCAAAGTTGTTGGACAGTGTGATGCCCTTCTTGGCGAGCCATGCAAAGTTGGCTGTGACAGGTCAGATCCCGAGTGGACAAAGAGCTCAAGGAAGTACCCACGATCACCAATGGCCTTGTCATAATCGGTATTCTCATTCCAGATAATGACAAAGCGGTCGAAGGCCTTGCCTTTGACGTTGCTGGTCGGGCTGCTGGTCTTGGCTGTAGCAGCAGCAGCCGCAACAGCAGCAGTGCCGGTGGCAGTGTAACGTGTCTCCCAGCCTTCAGAGGAGCTCGAAGAAGTTGCTCGAGCAGCGAGAGGCGTAACGGCGGCGGCGTGGGCGCCGGCCGCGAAGACAGCTGCAGCAACTGCGCAACGCATCGTGGAGGTTGATGAAGCTGGACAGACCTTCTAACGAGCGATGGGAAGAACGGCGTGACGAACACAAGGAGAATCATGAACGTCTAGTCCGGGACGACTTGATTATTTCATCTCTTCAACCATTTGCTGTCGGGCACCTCCGCGTCGGTGGTTCTGTAGTATCGGGACGAGGAATGGGGAAGGTCACATCCCTGACAGGCTGACAGCATCGCCACCCTTGCGCACGGGAACGCTCGTCGATCCATTAAACGAACAGATGGATAGGACGAAAAGAAGGAGCCTGCCACTGCTTCTCGATCTAGTGCATGGCATCGAACCCATTTCCCCTCAGTCGACCTGGACTGACCGAACTCCAATTGCAGACGCAGGTTGTCAAAGTGTGAGGTCTGATTGGGCCATTTCGAGCGCACGTGTAAGAAAGAGGACAGGCATGCCGGCTTCCCGAGAGGGCGGCAACGCGCGGGTAGAAACAACACAGGATGCTACGCCACCCCGTTTCCCGAAAAGTTACCTGCCTTGAACGGCAGTTCGGCTCGTGGGCGGCATTTTGTACGCATTTTCAGCCTCTTGTCTGAATCTGAGTCCTTTCTGCACTTGCGCTGTTTTCATGTTCTTTTCGTAAAGACACAATGAGATTTGCGCCATGGAACCCGAGCGAGGAAGCGATCAAGAGAGGCTCTTGAGTCCAGCCCTGACGATCTTCACCGACTTCAACTTGGACCAGTTGGAGGCTTCGTCTTACAGTTCAGCTACAGAGGAGAACAACGGCGAAAAATCGCCATTTCTTGCTCCTCGAGATGACGACGAGAGGCCACAACGGTCGAGGAATCGACCAGATGGCTCTTGGCTGAGTCGAGCCTTTGCAAGCTTCTTTGGCGTTTTCGTCTTCTTCATCATTTTCTATGCATCGGATCTGCTTTATCCAGCCACTGTACCACACCATCATGAAGCGCCAGTCTACGTGACCAAAGAGCCAATTCCATCATCGCCGCGATTGAGGAACTCGTCCGAATAGTTCTGAGCACTTCTTGGGACTTCAACGCCGCGGCAAGCACCAGAGAATACTACTGGACCATCAATGATGCGAGCTTCAATCCTGATGGGATCTGGAGGCCGATGATGCTCATCAACAACCAGTTTCCTGGGCCTCTCATCGAGTGTAACGAGGGAGATACCATCGCTGTCCACGTCCGCAACGAGGCTGTCAATGCTACAGCCATTCATTTTCACGGCATGTATCAAAATGGCACAAACTCCATGGACGGCACCGTTGGCGTTACGCAATGCCCAATTGCACCCAACGCGACGCTCACGTACAGATTCACGGTCGAGAAACAGTCAGGAACATATTGGTTCCATGCACACCACAGTAATCAAGCTTCAGATGGGCTCGTCGGGCCTTTGATCATACACCCAAGAGATAACCAAGCGGCCAGGGACCAGTACTCGACTGATAGAGTTGTCATCATTTCGGACCACTACCACAACACGTCTGCTGAGTTGTTGATGGACTACCTTCAGCCAGACCAGGAGAACGACGAGCCTGTGCCGTCAAGTGGCCTTATCAACGGGCGCAACTACCGCGACTGTGCCGACTTTGATGGATGGAATTGCCATAATCAGAATGCTCGTCTGCAGTCTTTGGAAAACTTTGACCTGGCACCAAATGACCGGCACCGCCTGAGGTTCATCAACACCGGCGCCTTTGCCGAGTTCCAAGTCGAGATCGACGAGCATCCGCTCTACATCACCGAGGTTGACGGAACTGATGTTCACCCTGAGCCCTTCCACCGCCTCAATATCCTTCCGGCACAGCGCTACAGTGTGGTGATTGAGACCAACGTTACCGCTGCCGACTCATTCTGGCTTCGAGCTAGGATGGTCACGCACTGCTTCGCACGAGAAAACCCCTGGCTCGACTCAGAAGTGAAGGGAATCGTGCGGTATGCCGCAGCAGATCTCTCCAGCATCGAGAAGGCACATAAAGTAGCCCCAGAACTCAGCGAACCCCAAAGCAGGAGCTGGGATGAGGCAATAGACGTCGACTGCCGAGACATGAACACAACTCTCCTCAGACCCCTCGACGCGATTCCAGCACCCAACACCACAGCCACAATGTACCTTCGCGCCAACTTTGAAATCGGGGCATGGCGTCTGTCGCGCGGCTTCTTCAACGCCTCGACGTGGCACGCCAACGTAACCTCGCCGGCTCTGTATCGCTTTATGAACGCCGCGAAAAGCGACAATGACACGTTATTCTCGTCCACAACCGGAGTAAATGATATCACCTTCAATCCCGAAAATGAGTTTGTGTACCAAACAGAAGGTGTCCAAACGGTCAACATAATCATCAGCAACTTTGACGACGGCGCGCACCCGTTCCACATCCACGGACACAAATTCTTCGTTCTGAAGCAGTCTCCAACAGGCTATCCACCTGAAGACATGACCGAGTTGGAAGAAGAGCTTGCGGCCTCGGGCGTCCTAGAGAACCCGCTCAGAAGGGACACGGTGACTGTCCAAGGCTACGGCTGGGCGGTTGTCAGAGTCGTCCTGGATAATCCGGGTATGTGGGCTTTTCACTGCCACAACGCATGGCATGCGGAGGCTGGCATGATGATGATGATTGCGGCGAGGATCGAGACGGCCAAAGGATGGAACGTGGCGAGCGATGAGGAGATACGGCTCTGCGAGTTGCCCGGGGTTGAGAAAGGGGCCAGGCCTAGTGATGACATTTGGTTCGGGAACTTTGGTTGAAAGAGCAAATACGAGATTCTGTAAATAGAGGGTTCGTAATTAGTATTGCCCGGATAGAAGGGCCCAAAGAGAGAATGAGAAGCTTCGGCGGACAAAGGAAATCCGAGACCGATTACACCGCCTCTAACGGTCTAACCCACCGGGAAATTTGTCGAGTCGAGACGCTCCATCTGTTTCCGTCCTGTAATGAATCAGGAATCAGCTGTTGTGGGATCCATTCATCAGTCAGGTTTCTACTAAGTCCGGCAGGTTACCAACGGCTAGAGTACCCTTGTCAACCCGCTCGTTGTCAACCCCCCGTGGGCAAGGCGTTGTGGTCCTCGGCATGATCCCTTGCTCATTGGAAGTTTGATCCACCGAGGTTTCCATCACCTTCACTTCTCCGCGTATGTACGGAGCTATGTCTTTCGCAAAAGAAAGTTGCTGACATCTACCGGCTGAGTACCGAGACATTATGTCCAAGAAGGACAAGACAGCTTCAATAGCCCCGGCAGTTCCGAAGCTCCTTCCCTTCATAGATATGCTAACTTCATGACTCCATGCCATCGGCTCATGACGGACTGTGCGCCGGCTGCACTTCGCGCCAGAAAAGGAGTTGCTTGCTTGAAAGTTGAATTTGGCCGGACGATCTAGACCGCTGGGAGTCCTTAGCAAGCTAGTCTGCATACAGGTGCTAAAGCAGGGGGCACATCGAATATTGCAAGAGATTGGGAAATAGGCAAACGGGTCCCGTACTAACTCGATCGGATCCCGGATTCCGCAGTTCCCATCATCCGGTCTCTCATGAGTGCACGTGTGCTGCATCAGCCGTGCGGTCCCATAATCCCATTTGCCATGATGCCCATTTCTCGCCGGGCCCCGCAGTAGGAGGCGAAGTTCTGGGCCCCTTAATTCTCCCATTTGCAGTTTCGCGACGAATTGGTTGTAGTGTTGTCGGAACTTCGATGTTGGAGCCTTTGCTGTCAACCTGTGATCGTCACCTTTCGGTCCGTTGTAAAATTCTCAAAGTCAAAAAAAGGAGAGACGTAATACGGAATTGACAGAGTGTTCCAGTTTTCTGATGTAGAAAGTCCCGTTGAAACAAGAGACAACTGATGCGTCGCATTGAGTCGGAAATAAAGAGCAATTGGACTCTCGTGCCCCAGTTTATCGCACTCTGTTCATCTGTTGGTCCTTCCTTTCTTCATCCACTTGCATACATCTCAGTGCCGAGTTCCATATTATTTTTGGGGTATACCACTCCAGCTAGATAGGACGCGCGCCCCGTCAACTCATCTTTAGGATGGAGCCGCTGAAGCATCTAGATGGACGTTGTCTTGCCTCTAGAGATATGTGCCGGTTGCCGGCCATTCAAGAGTCATGTCGATGTCATGTTCATGGTTCAATGATGATATGCGGCTGAGACTGGAGGGTGCCATGTTAAGAGAGAGCCGGCAAATCGGACGGAAAAACCAAACATGATGCGACGTTGAAATTGAAGATTCAGAGTTTTGACTGGTGCAAATTCAAGGACTGTCAACTCCCTAGCTGCCGTTCAGATGACTTGTGTTTCATCCGCCATCCAACATGGTCAACACGAAGACGAGCGCAAACTCTAATTCCCTTTCAGGATCATAAGAGGGGAGAGGGAGAAAATCTGCCAAGTCAAAGTGAGATAAACACCTGCATCAGTTGCGTTGCAGCGACAAGCGAAAAGGCGCGAGCAGCCGACCGAAGGTGTCGGATGCTGGGCATTCGTGGTCAAGACTCAAATTAGCTCGTCGACGGGGACCCGGTTCTGGCAATATTCTGCACATTCTGCACGCGTGACGGGCCAGCGCTAACATGACTAGGCCATCTTGAGGAAGTTTGGAGGGCAGCAAAGAGTCGAGTATGGGCCCGAAACTCTGAACTTTCCCGCCAATCATGGGCAGAACAGGCAGAAATGTTCCATGGCAACACCAATTCTCGTGGAACTGGTAGACGCTCCCCGAAAGTCAATTCTATTGCAACCATCGACCAAACCGTGATGTGATCAACCCCCCACCCCACTCCCATAAGTCCCTTCAGCTATACGTGTTCGGGAGGCCGTGACCACCACATTACCAGCGATTTAACCAAGCTAACCCTTAAGGCACGTAATATCAGTCGAACTCTGTTCAATTTAAAGCTCACATTGTCTGACCATAAACTTTCCACCAACCAGCCGCCCTGGTACTGGCATCCCTGGGGAACAATTGGTCCGTTACGCGTCCAGTGCTCCTAGGCAATCCCCCTTTCGCGGCTCCCGTCCCCTCCTCCTTTTGTGTGATGTTGCCCAACACTGGGAGGTTCGATGTTTACCACAATGGGACGAAGAGCCCCAGTGCAAAGTTGCGGCTGGAAGAACGGCACGGAACTCGGCAACTTGAGATCCAGGATTGATACAACCACCTATTGAATAGAGTGCCTAGATTCGATCGGTGCAAGGGCCGGACGACCCTGCTTCAACAGGCCTTAGCCTTGGCGGCGCACGAAAGCAGTCCACAGCGCGGAGCTCGAGGTGGTTGTGGTGCTTGTCTATGTCAATCGCGGAGATGGCGCCGTTGGGCAGAATCTAGTGCGTTTCCAGAAATTCAGGAGTTGTCGGTGGGGTTTGCCTGCCTGCATGGGACTATGACGAGCAAGGGCCATCCCCGGCACTCGCGTTGCTTCTGGCCTGGGGCCCGGTCGAGCTCCATCTTCCATCTAACTGACTCGGCCAGTGTTTCCCTGTTCCCATGATGCCTCCAGGCGACTGACTGAGCAGTCGGTACGTGGAACAAGGTATCCGTACGCAAAGAGGTAGAGACAGAGAGAGCAAAGAGGATGGCAAACAGGAGCCGTTCGTTGACAGGCCTTGGCAAGGCTGTGCCAAGAGATCCCGTCGATTTGGATATAAACCATCCTGCAGTTCCTCCCCAGATTGCCAAGAAGCTTCCAAGACATCACTCCCGCAGATCTCATCCAGTTTACCATTCTAGAGTCTTGGCTCATTCATTCTTTCGTCTTATTTTTTAACCAATTCTGATACTGTGTATCAAGTCACTCACTACTACCAAAACAAACTTCCTTGCACCAAAATGGTTTCTTCGCTTCTCGCCCTCGGCGCCTTGGCCGCCACTGCTATCGCTGCTCCCCTCGATGCTCGCGCCAGCTGCACCTTCACCGATGCCGCTGCCGCCATCAAGGGCAAGGCCAGCTGCACCAGCATCATCCTCAACGGCATCGTCGTCCCTGCCGGTACCACCCTCGACATGACCGGTCTCAAGTCCGGCACCACTGTAAGTTTTAGAGTCTTTGGCTTCCAAGTAAGCCCTAAGCTGACGCCATGAAAGGTCACCTTCCAGGGCAAGACCACCTTCGGCTACAAGGAGTGGGAGGGACCTCTCGTCTCCTTCTCCGGTACCAACATCAACATCAACGGTGCCTCCGGCCACTCCATCGACTGCGGTGGTGCCCGCTGGTGGGACTCCAAGGGAAGCAACGGCGGCAAGACCAAGCCCAAGTTCTTCTACGCCCACAGCCTCAAGAGCTCCACCATCAAGGGCCTCAACGTCCTGAACACCCCCGTCCAGGGCTTCTCCATCAACAGCGCCACCACCCTCGGCGTCTACGACGTCACTATTGACAACTCTGCCGGTGACTCTGCCGGTGGCCACAACACCGACGCCTTCGACGTCGGCTCCTCCACCGGTGTCTACATCTCCGGTGCCAACGTCAAGAACCAGGACGACTGCCTCGCCATCAACTCCGGCACCAACATCACCTTCACCGGTGGTACCTGCTCCGGTGGCCACGGTCTGTCCATTGGCTCCGTCGGCGGCCGCTCTGACAACACCGTCAAGACCGTCGTCATCTCCAACTCCAAGATCACCAACTCTGACAACGGTGTCCGCATCAAGACCGTCTCCGGCGCCACTGGTTCCGTCTCCGGCGTCACCTACTCCGGCATCACCCTCTCCAACATTGCCAAGTACGGTATCGTCATTGAGCAGGACTACGAGAACGGCTCCCCCACCGGCACCCCCACCAACGGCGTTCCCATCACCGGCCTCACCCTCTCCAAGGTCACCGGCTCCGTCGCCTCCTCCGCTACTGATGTCTACATCCTCTGCGCCTCCGGTGCCTGCAGCAACTGGAAGTGGAGCGGCGTCAGCGTCACTGGCGGCAAGAAGTCCACCAAGTGCTCCAACATCCCCAGTGGCAGCGGTGCTGCTTGCTAAGCGTCTCGCACTTGCGAGTTTTCTCGGCCGCTCTCTTCTGAGTCGGTAATACCCACCTTGGGGTGCTAGTCTCTTTTCCTTGGTGGGAACGCTGACGCGGATTGTTTGTGCTGGACTTTCTTGTAATGAGTTGAGCTGTGTCTGCAAATTAGTCAGCCAAGCGCAAATTTGTTCCTGTATATAATTTCCTTTGTCGTCCTCAAGGTGTCTTGAGGCGAGATACATACCAATCCAACTACATACTGGATGAAATCTGTTCGATTCCTCTTCGCGACTCCAAGATGAACCTCGCACTTGACCCATGTTCCGCTTTACGTAGTAAGCCTTTGTGCCAAGAAACCAAGAGATAAACGACAGCTCATTTCCACATTGGTTACAAGGATCCCGGCATGGCATACCCCTGTATCGTTAAAAGCCCCGACCCCCGACCCTCATTTCCAACCGAACCACAAAAGGGCCAGGCCACGCGACAACGAAAATCAACCCGAAAATAAAATGATGTGCCCACCAGCACAAAAAGCAAAAGAAAGTCTCCTCGACGGGGAATTGAACCCCGGTCCCCTGCGAATCTTTGATGTTCAATGACAAGCAGATATCCTCACCACTAGACTATCGGGGATTGGTGGATGTTAACATCCAGTGATAGTTGGTTGACGACCGACGCCACAAGTGCCTATATCAAGGCTTCACGCCAACATTCTCACCTGCGATTCTAAATGGTGTTGGTCTGTTGATTGTGTCGTAGGCTTTGGCGGGGTAAACAGATCTTTCCAGTTGATCAGTTTCTTGCAGAATCATTTTCACAGCTTGACAAGTCTCAAAAGTGAATGTTGTTAATTTGAGATGTAACACAACGCAAGATCAATGTTGGCCGCGTCGGAAAATTGAGCGAAACCCTTTGCACACAGGTTAGAACAATCGTTTGCAGATTTTTTAGCAAGTCGCGCAGGGACACTCTCAATCGGTCAGTCTGAAGTTTATAGAACAGACATGCCTCCGGGTGGAGTTTACATGCACACATACTGCATCCTGGAAGTTCTCATCATATGGCAACCTTTTGAGGTTGAGCCAGTTCGCCTGATATCGATGATGGACCGAGCTAAACAACAAGCTCGTCGATCATATTCGAAGTATATACTTTCGCAATTCAGTCTTCAATATGTACATGAATTCAAATGATTGACCGGGCTCAGTCTCTCATGCCGACAGTGTGACGATGAACCAAAAGACGCTTAGCAGGTAAACGCAGCCGGGCCGGGAATGGTGTAAGTTTGCGCTTCAAGGAGCAAAGTCAGCATTGAATAGGAATCGAAGTGCGCACATGCATGGTATAACATACCCTTGTAGGCATCGTAGGTGATACCAGGGTCGGTCGACTTGTACGCGCCGGGAATAGCAACCAGCGAAGTCGCAGTCTTGGTGCCAGAACCAGTGACCTGCAGTTGATGGCATCCGGGGTAGAACTGGGCTCCGGGGTAAGAGTAGGCGGCGTGCAGAGCAATGATCTCGTGGCGGACGAGGTAGTAGCCCGACTTCAAGCAGGACGGGATCGTGTACTGGTAGCCGGAGTTGGCAACCATAAGGGGCGTCTGGGTTGTGACACACATTAGTTATTACTGATTAAACTTTAGAGACAATTACGAGTTACTCACATCAGCCCAAGTGTTAGTAGTTCCGGTGCGTCCACCTTCCTTGACCTTGAACCACACAGCACTGGATCCAAGATTTAGCCGCGGTACTTAGACACAGTTGCGGAGTATTCTTTCACTTACGAAGTGCCGGGCTGCCATGCCTGGCAACCGGTATCGGGGCATCGCGCCATGTACGTGATAACGGGACCGACATGAGAGTCGGGCCAGAGGGTCCACCGCAGGGTGACAGTCGAACCAGCAGCAGCTGTGGCATGGAGGGCCGCGGGCGTCGAGCCTGAGATGCCACCGGCAGTGTACCCTCCGCACTGGACATCGATCAAGTCAACGCTCTCGACGGGTCCGTTGCCTTGAACAGGGCGAGAGATTCTCTGGGGCTGTTGGACATTGGGTGAGTCATGATATCTTTGCATTTGGGATGAAGCTAGACTTACAGAAGGGCTTGTGTACGGGTCTTGATAGGGCTAGATACGTGGCACTTGTTAGATTCATAACGACACATCTGAGGTCTCAGTAGTCTACTGTACCTGGTAGAACTGTTGAAAGTCTGTTAGCAAATAATCATTGATAATCCAGAAGTGTTTGACAAACCTGGTAGTAGGTGCCTCCGATGGTAGCATTGTCAACATATCCGTGACCAGCGACCAAAGCCGCAAGGCCGAGGAAGCAAGCAGCGATCTGCATGTTTCGACTTTTTCTCAGACAATCGTCCGATGTACAAAGCGAGAGATCGATGACTGCGACAAGGGACAAGTTGCGTAACGACTGGCACTTGGCTGGAGCTGGGCAGTTTAAAGCTGAAAACTTGCTCTCACACGGGAAACACCATGCTATATATCATCAACACCCCAGCTCAAAACAGTTCATCCTTTCTTCTCCTTTTTCTTTCCAATGGGGCTCCTCCTCTCAATCCAATACACCAAGCCAGCGTAGCCAGCCAGCAAACTCCTTGGCACGACTGCGTTGCCTCCCCATCCCACCCCCTAGAATCTCATCACGGGAACTAAGAGCACAGCGCAAAAAGGAAACAACGGAACCACACGAGCGAGTGCCACGGCTCGACTATATTAACTCTGGCAAGGGGCATTGCCAATGAAAATGGGGAAAACCCGCATCCCACTTTGGAGGCGGGGTTTCCACCAATTGATCAGCCGAGCCATCGTCGCAAGTCAAAACGCCAATGCCACCCGTGTTTTAATTAAAAGGGAACAACAAAGACGAATAAGCAAGGTTGGCTCTTGCTACTACTATGTAGACAGAGCGCAACAGACCACCGCGCGGGATCCGTGATGCCGTGTGCCGTGGGTTTGGATTGGCGGGGGATCTGCGGTGTCACCATGCCGGTTCATGATGCTTGCAAATCTGCAGGCAGTGCCGAGGAATCATTTTTGTTTGGAGATAATTCCTGAAATAGCTGGAGATAAAAGGCGGTGAGTTGTCAATAGTTTATTGAAGTTCGCAAGATTCGTACGCGTTAAAGTAAGTCTTTGCAGTTGAGGGTCGCTACGTAAGTAAAAATGTGTTGAGAGCGACAACGCGCCACCGAAATCGGGACGAGCACATGGCAGCCAATACCAAGCGCCACATTTGGGATAAGTTGTCAGGGAAGCCGAATATAATACCGCAAGAGTTGCCTCCGTGTCGTCTTTTGGTCATCCCATCTTCTGCCGGTGTCAATGTGTTTCTCCCCAAACAGGAATGTGACATCTCGTCCACCTAGATCGTAGTAAGCTGGACGACCACATGACACTCGTTGGCTTTACTGTAAAGTGAGATTATCCATTAAAGCCATGGTGTGTCCAATTTTTAATTATGTTTCCTTCTCTCAGATGTTGATGCCGACCCGGAAGTAGACGGACTCTACGAGGTGCCATGGATGATGGAATGTCATTTTCTCTTGTGTTTTGACAAAGTGCTTCAACTTCGTCAAGCTGGTGTTCGAAACTCAAGGTAGCTCAGCCATAGTGACTTGCAAATGTTCCAAGTCACTGATGTTGCACGGGTTGAACGATCCAATTGCTAAGTGCCTAGGTAGGTAAATACATGGGAGCATGGTTCTCTGGGGACATGGATCTTAGAAGGAAGATACGTTGAATTGCTGCGTGTGTCACCCATGATAACGAGACACTTACGTAGCTTTATGGACAGATGCGACAGATCGCATGGCGCCTAATGATGATTGGCAATCATCTGAGATATCCTGGAGGCTACACCATCACGGCTCCGGGCTCCCAGGCATACGAAGCAAACCTGAAATATAATTACGGTATCTGCATGAATAATGTCCACGCTTAAGTTCAACATCCAGTGTCTATGAATTACAATGCTGGTTTCTCGTGTCTCATTAATTGGCAGGCTCGGAATAACTAGTTGGCTGTGTTTAGGTTTCGGCCAACGAGAGAGGCGCTAGCTCAATCACGACCTCTACTAGTCAACTGGTTGCAGCCTTGGAAGTAAACTCTGTAGGTTTATTCTACAACGTAATCTTTCAAAAAGGAACTTCTATTAGTTGTAGTTGCTATGTCATAACTTTGAATACGAACCTCGTGCTATTCAGCCGCTGCTGGCTTACACTCACCGTCAATATCTGACGCACAGGAGTTACCGGGCTCCTAATAGGGGGCGATTCCCCGTAACGCTGCCTTATCTCCCATCGCACTATATAAGAAGAGCTGCAAGTCATGATAGTGAACACAGATACCCCAATGTCTCAAAAGAGTGGGAAGTGTTCAAATGTGATCACTGAAAACCAACTTCAGGGTGAATAGTCTTGACTACCTTAATTACCTACATGTACATTTCTCAAAAATAGCTGAATCTTGAGATTGTGGATGACGCTTACTTGAGTCCCGTCAACTTGGCACGGTTTTAGCCTTCCACTGCGCTCCTTCTTTGAATCATGCAGATAAATGACAGTCTCACCGTGGCATTTTGCTGTCTCACCCTGCACCCTGCACCCTGCACCGAGTGCCTGGACTGTGACGAATCGAACTGCCAACAAGCAACACACTCGACAGACCACCTTACACATTCAACTCTAATGTAAGCACCTCAAATGACCGCTAAACGAAGGTGTCAGACTTCACGCCACAGTTGTCAGCGCCGTTTTCGTGAGTCTAGACCGCATGCCAGGATTCCATTGCTCTGTCTCAAGGAGATTTGCGGAGTGGTCTGATAAAGTAGCTGCTTGAAGAGTACGTGGTCTCCATTTGATTCGATCCGCCCAGAACGGTCAACAGGCGGAGAATGCTTGAGATGCATGCGTCTGACCCGTCCATAGGTGGGAGGGATTCCGGCCTACGCGAGAGCCATCTACGTGGAAGCCATCTCGTCTTCATTTGCGACCTCCTTGCCTGAACAATGAGGACTGGTGATCGTAGTGATGAGAAGCCGACTAGCATCAGCGGAGTGTTCGGAAGCCATTTGTAACGCAATTTACAACATGAAGTATTATTCGGTGGAGAGGAAGAACTTCCGCAAAGCATCGAGCAATCAGGAGTTTGGTTAGGTGCTTGCGCTGAGAGTCACACATGCTTGGAGGAAGCGGAGAACAAACCCCAACTTGCCTGATCAAGGTTTCGGTAGGGTGGTGCTAACTTCATAGCTTATTGTTAAGCTTATTTGTCGACAAGGGTGACGAGGTCAGGCTTGTCAATCCAATACGGAAGCAATCACATGACACGACCGCCAGCCAGCCATCGGGTGCTTATTGAAGCTTCAATTTGACGAAGGCCAGAGAAGAGTGCGTTTCCAGAAACATCAACTTGATTACAATTCCGAAGACTTCCTAGGACGCCATGTGGCTGACTCGGCAGCTTGGTATGGAGTACATCTAGATCGACAGTATGTGCATAATGCAGGACGACCTAGAAGACTGGCCCCGGTAATTTGTGCAGATAAGACGTCTACGGATTGTTTTATCTAAGTGTTGCAGTCAGCCAAGGCAACGGACAAAAGCAACTTCTTGTTTCTAGAGCTAGTCGCCAACTAGGAGCAAACGTCTCGACTTAAGAGGCTCGGCACCTTCTAGTAGGACAGGATACTAAATCTGAGCTTCTTGGAAAGACGATTGGGTGGTTATGACCTCGGAAAGATTGAGCAATTTATTGAGGGATTCTTTGTTCATGTTAAGTTCTTGTGTGATAGTTGTCAGAGTCCAAAGGATTGTGTCGACTCCACTTTCTCTAGTTCTCCTCATCTCACATCTCAACGCGTACAGACATAATGACGCTTCTGCCATGAAGTAATTCGAAAGTTGATCGTCGCGTTATGTTTTCCCGGTTGTTTGCAATTGCTCTACACCCCCCCCCCCACGCTCAGATTCTTTGCCAATCGCGACAGCAAGCAGAGCCGGCCTACCGATCAAAAGCTCGTTTAATGTCTTGGCAACACACTGGATCGGGTCCCAAGAGAGCAGGTGCAGCACGGTAAGGCCGACCGTCGAGACATCAGCTCTCAAAAGTCCCCATTATCCTAAACCCCGCAGACAAGGCCAGCCACGCGAGGAAGCGTTGTCGTGCGCCATGGCCACATCCCGGGCGGAAGCCGAGAAGGATAACAAGATAATCGAAGAAACATCAGACCCGAGAACCGTGTTACTGAACCACCAAGCCAGAACCCTGGCACGGTAGACGAGCAGGATGGGCAGGTCCTTTGTCCAACTGACGCGGTGTTGAGCAACAGTTGGTCCCAACCCGCCACCCCGCGATATGAAAAAGTCTTGGCACCTGCCCTTTGGGGTTACATCGTGGCGTGCGAATATTTGAGCCAAGATGTTGTGACCCGCGTCTTGGCCCTCGGATGCAGTAGCATCGAAAGTGCTTCCATGCCTCTCGCCTTCTCCCAACGGCAAACCACTTGCGGTAACACTCCCCCGTTATTGCATGACCATGGCTGGTAGAGCAATCAGCTAGGCGAGCCCGTCTTTGCTGACAGAACTCGCCGGCTTATCAGTTGCATGAATTGGGCTCGCTGATTCGATATGTCCTCACGTTCCCCGCCCCAGAACCCATGCAATCGGCAAGGTCCAAATGCATGCCAAGCTTAACCAGAAGCTTGAGCTCTGACTCTCCGAGCAAGACCTCGCAATGTCGCCGCGCAGCGTGCCATTCGACATGGAAAGCAAAGGCGAAAAAAGCAACCCAACATGCGGTGCCTGCATGCTGTGATCATCATAAAGAAGCGGGCGATGCCCTTGTGCGCGTCACTCGGGTTCTGAGAGCTCAACCCGCTTTGCTCTTCTCGCGGTCTCCTTCCAGATCCCATTCACCAGATCACCCACCAAGATGAAGACCACCTTCCTCTCCGCCGCCGCTCTGGCGCTGGCTTCCACCACCTTGGCTACCGATCCTCTCACTGCCGACAAGATTGAGGCTGACATCAAGACTGTTGAGTGAGTCCATCCCGTGCTACTGCGATTTCCCATGATACGAAGCTCCTGCTAACCTATGTCCCAATAGGCTTGAGCGCGTTCTTTGGAATCTGAATAAGATCGCTCGCGATAATGGCGGTACTCGCGCCTTCGGCACTCCGGGCTACAAGGCCTCGGTTGACTTCGTCCTGGAGCGTGCCCAGACTCGTTTCGCCAAGCAGATGGACACCTACCTCCAGCCCTTCAACCACACCTTTGAGCAGACCAACGCCATTTCCGTGACCGGGCCCGACGGCGATGTCATCGTCATCAGCGCCGAGTACAACACCGCTACTCCCCTGCCCGGCGGTATCACGGCTCCTCTCATCGACACTCCCGTTGACGATGAGAATGGTTCTGGATGTCTGCCGGGGGCTTTCACCGGTATCGATGCCACTGGCAAGCTTGCTTTGATCAAGCGTGGCGTCTGCGCTGTCTCTGACAAGATCAAGAACGCAAAGGCCGTCGGTGCTCTCGGTGTGATTCTGTACAACCAGGTCCCCGGTGACGATATCGCCAAGCCCACTCTCAGTGCTGAGAACATCGGTCTCCTCGTTCCCCTGGGTATCATCACCCTCGAGACTGGTGAGGCATGGAGCGCCCTTCTGGCCGCTGGCGAGGAAGTCGTCGTCACCCTCATTGTGGACTCCATCTTTGAGGAACGTGAGACCTGGAACGTCATCTCCGAGACCAAGGAGGGTGACCCGAACAAGGTAATCATGCTCGGCGCCCATCTCGACAGTGTTCTCGAGGGCCCTGGCATCAACGACGACGGTTCAGGCACCGCCGCCCTCCTCGAACTCATGGGTTCCGTCAAGAAGTACAGCGGTTATCCCCACAAGATCCGTTTCGCCTGGTGGGCCGCCGAGGAGGCTGGCCTAGTAGGATCCTACTACTACACCGAGCACCTCAGCTCCGAGGACGCCGACAAGATCAAGTACTACTTCAACTACGACATGATCGGATCGCCCAACCCCATCTACGAGCTCGCCTCCTACAACAACAGTGGTATCGGTCCCCAGCTTCTCGCCGACTATCTTGAGGCCAACGGCAAGGAGACCATCTCCGCCGAGTTTGACGGCCGTTCCGACTATGCCGGCTTCGTCGATCTCGGCATCCCCGTCGCGTCCATCTTCACTGGTGAAGGCGAGAACGACCCTTGCTACCACCAGGCCTGCGACACAATTGATAACATCAACTGGGATGCCATCACTGTCAACACCAAGGCTGCTGGTCGTGCTCTGGCTACCCTTGCTAACTCGCTTGAGGGTGTTCCCCCTCGCGCTGACACTACCCCCATCCTTCGTGGCCGCGCTGGCGTTCTCCAGCAGATGCGTCGCTGGAAGGCTCTGGCCGAGCACACCAGTCACGGCAAGACGTGCTCTCACAACGATGAGAAGAAGATCTACTAGAGGCTTTCGAATTGAATCCTGGACATGTTGAGTCAGGTGCTGAGGAGTCGCGGGGTTAATGTAGCCACATCACTTTGGTTGAGAGTTAGCTTACGAGTAATGAAGATAATGTCTACTGTGCCTTGCGTTCACGTGAAAAGAACTAAATAGTTCAAAAGGCGTTCATGCCCTTAGAGTATACATGTCCATAGTCCGAGAATGAGGGCACCACAAGAGACAACGGCCGGATACCGGTGGAGTGGGGCCGACCGGCACCGGAGCAGTTGAGGGCTCGGCGTCACCCACCGCAGATTAGCGCCTCGGCAACTGGAAATTACAGCTGGAAGCACGACCCACGCCGCAAATTTCTGCTGATTGGTGCTGGCTGAGCCCCAACAGAAAGGGGTATCCCCAATACGCGTGTTGTGTTTGCTCTTCTCATGCCACCGCGTCACGTCAAGTGGAAGCCAGCGTTTCCATCTTTGTTCTGAAGCCAGCTAGAGTCTAGAGACAGATAAGCTTCATTAAGCCGAGTCAGTAACAAGTCCAGACAACCATGGCCCCAAAGAAGCACAACTATGAGTTCGGAGGCCCGTAAGTTCCACGCTGAAGGCCTACTTCACACACTCAATCGCTGACTTTGATGTTCACTCAGTCCCGGCGCTTTTGCCATTGTCTTTGGACTTCCCGCCCTCTTGTGGACATTCTTCTTTGTTTGCAATGACAAGACCGGTTGCCCCGCCCCGTCCACCTTAAGCCCTCGCACTTTGAGCTTGGAGAAGCTCAAGCTCGAAACGCCATGGCCCACCGATGGAATCTGGGGCTTCTGTAGCTGGGAAGCTGTCGGCTGGTCATTAGCCTATTACTTCGTGAGCCTGGTCCTCTATCGTGTCCTTCCTGCTCAGGAGATGCTCGGCACCAAGTTGGTTCAGTCCGGACGTCCATTGAAGTACCGTTTCAACTGTAAGTTTTCTCTCTCCAAAGATTCGATGATTTCATCTAACCCATTGGCAGCTTTCCACGCCACAGTTTTCCAGCTCGCTGGCCTGGCCATCGGCACCTACCTCCAGGGCGCCGACTTCGTCGTCTGGACCTACATCTCAGACAACTACCTTCAGCTTCTGACCGCCAACACCATCCTCGCCTACATCATCACCGTCTACGTCTACGTCGCCAGCTTCAGCGTGAAACCCGGCAACCCGGAACTCCGCGAGCTTGCAGTCGGCGGCAACACCGGCAGTCTCATCTACGACATCTACATCGGCCGCGAATTGAACCCCCGCGTCACCCTTCCCTTCTTCGGCGAAATCGACTTGAAAGCCTGGCTGGAGATGCGCCCCGGCCTGACGGGCTGGGTCATCCTCAACCTCGCCTTCTGCGCGAAGCAATTCCGCACGTACGGCTGCCTCTCCGACAGCATCCTCCTCACAACCGCCGTGCAGGGATATTATGTCCTCGAGGGCCAGTTTATGGAAGCCGGCCTACTCACCATGATGGATATTACCACCGACGGCCTGGGCTTTATGCTGACTTTTGGCGACATCGTCTGGGTGCCCTTCCTCTACTCCACCCAAACCCGCTATCTCTCCGTTTACCCCGTTCACCTGGGCTGGGCTGGCGTCGCAAGCATCCTTGCCGTCTTCGCGACGGGCCTGTATATCTTCCGCTCTGCGAATAACCAGAAGAAGGTCTTCCGCACACAGCCGGACCACCCAAGCGTCAAGGATATGCCGTTCATTCAGACGAAGCGCGGCACCAGGCTGCTGACTGGTGGATGGTGGGGCCGGTCTCGGCACATCAACTACTTTGGCGACTGGCTTCAGGCCTCGCCGTTCAGCTTGCCGACTGCCGTCTCCGGCTACCAGATTCTCACTGCTGGCAGCGCCGTGTCTGGCGCTATCACGATGCTTGATGGGCGAGAAGTCGTTCAGGGCGCAGCTCGTGGCTGGGGTATGGTTTTCACGTACTTTTACGTATTGTACTTTGCCATTCTGCTTATCCATCGTGAAGGGCGGGACGATGTTGCTTGCTCGGAGAAGTACGGCGAGGACTGGGACAAGTATAAGCAGATTGTCAGGTGGAAGATCTTGCCGGGCGTCTACTAGGAGATTCAGGAATGTGCGTGATCATCAAGTCCACCAACCAGTGTGGATGCCATCAAACAAGTCGGAGCTGATTGCTGGATTTGAATGGTGCTCTTTGTATGCTTATGTAGCACCGTATTCGAGCAGCATAACCTCGATTTCGTCCCTGACGTTCTTGACGTTTGCTCGGCGGATATCGACAATTATCTTACAACCTTCTCCACAGCAGGACAAAGCGTCTAAACAAGGCTTTTGGACCCCATTTCGACATGTTTGGAGTGATGTCATGCCAGTAAGATAGTCGCACGCATGTAGTATTGTGTGCTCTGGGCGATTCATCGCAGCTGGGTTGCCTCTAGGGTCCGGTTTTGCACCACTCTTGAGTAGAATCTCCACCCCTTCCTGGTCCAAACAAGCTACGGCAATCTGTAGTGGAGTGACTACAAATTCTGGTGCATCTGCTTTTACACCCAAACGTAGCAGTTGCTCAAGTCTGCAATTCTGAAAGCAGCAATCAGGATTGTTTTCTGGAAGTTCCTCAAGATCAAGCAAAGCAATAGACTGTAGAAGAAGATGGCGAAAGTTGATAGCTTCTCGCCAAATTTTCTAGGAGGTGGTGCCATGTTTGAGACATCCGATACGAACAAACGGCGGCAATGTAACTGATAAGTGGGAGATGAAACAATGTCGAAGTGGTATCTCCAACAACGTCGTAACCCAGGTGTACTGGGGTCTGTAGAAGGTTCTCTGCACGACCTTCTCTATGTAGCACCAACTCAGCGAGTTTGGAAGCTTCCATGTAAACCAGGTCGACCAGAATGCCAAGTCTGGGGGGACAACGGTACATGAAATTCGATTGCAATATCCAGGCACCATTCGATTGCGGCAAGCCCCAATCTCTCGATGAGCGCTTCCACGTTGTATACTCCGTTGTCCAATAAATATAAACGACGAATCGTATCCAGAGGATGAGTTCTTGAGTGGTGCGGAGTTGTAACCATGGTAGCAAGTTCCTCATTCTGTAGGATGACCTCTTCATATTCGACCATCATTTTCAGGGCTGCGAAGCTGCAATACGTCCCAAAATCCCACTGCCATGTGATGCCCGGAGAAAATCGGTCGCTTTCAGGAGTGCTGGTCTCGCTAGCCACGTCATACTGAAATGCTTCCGAGAAAATAACACTCGTTCGTCCACCTATGGCTGTAAGCTTGTCGAGGTAAAAAGAAGATTCCGCACTAAAACGAGTCGAGATAGCCAAATATTCCATGACTGTGTAGTGCGAAAACGAGACTACGAATTTCTCATGTCCATCAAAGATATTATCGCCGTCTAACGTGACCGTGATGAGACAACCGCATGATTCGCGAAAAAATTCGACATCATAGCGGTAATCGCGTATACTCAGGTTTTGCCGATTGAGATCTCCTTTAATGGCCTCAAGTAGTAATTTGCAACCGACATGGATCGACGGACCTCTAAAGAGTTTGTAGTGGAAGCAGATCCAATCAAGGGCTGAGGCAACAACTTGCCGGTCTTCTTCAGGTATGATATCGAAAATTCTGTCATATGTTTCGTTGAGTGTTTTTGGAAGATTCTTCAACTCATTCCTGATGGCCGCTTTATTCCCATTTAGGCGGCGTAAGGCGTCCAGTTGGCACACAACCCATCGAAACCTGCATTGTGCGGTGGTCAGTATTCCGAACTCGTAATTACGTTATTAAACGGGGTACACACATTCCTTTTGCGCCACAAGATATCGCTTCCAGAGCCTCATTGCGCAAATCCTCTGTCCAGTCTTTTAACTTGTCGTTGGTGGCGAGTCGAGATTCAGTATATTGTCGAAAATCTGCATCGAGATAGGCGTTTCGTATGGAAACCTCTGTTGAAATCTCTTCCATGACTTTTTCGATATCCATATATTCACGACTCGTTACTAGAAGACGAATGTTTGAGAATCTGAAGTCGGTGGCAAGATCTCGTAGGACCTTGAGAAGCTCTCTCCGGGGGTTGCTTTCATCGATGGCATCAATTGTGATGCAAACACTACTAAAGTAGCGCGAGGCAGTTTCGAGAGCAGTGAGCAGGTCGCTGAGGCTGGGAATCCTGTCATCCTTAAACATTCTCCAAAGGTGATCAGAGACCTGATCCGCCTTTCTACACATACGCTCAAGGATCCATCGTAGAAATGGGGCTGCCTCTCCTGATTGTGTCCGAAGTAGCAGTAGTAGTGAATTCCAATCGACACAGAGCCACTTGAAGTAGACTCTCGACAAGTATTTTCGATTTTTCCAGCGAGTTGTGAAGCCAAGATGGTTTTGCCGGCTCCGGGGATCCCGTGAATCCACAGGCATCGTATATTCCCTTGACTGAACTGAGCCCACTCTGGAGTACGTGACATCCATTCGCATGTTCCAGGCTCGTGATTTTCACAAGCTCGGTAGTGGATGGAGGAAGGATCGGTATGTCTGAGCCACGTGTATACCTCGTTTCGTTGGTTTTCTAATCATTTCATGATCAGTATGGTGATAGTGACCATCGCTCAAGAGGCCGAGCGAAACATATCAGTCAGAACTTGTTGGATGCGTAAATTTCCCTCGCGTATGAGCTTGATGTCATGACTAGGTGAAGTGAAGTCTTTAGAATACCTGCAAGCCACCTCTAATCCGCTTATGAGATGCTGCATTTTCACTTATCTGGACGTTGCGGTAAGGGCGAGACTGATAGTATTCTTGCACCGTGTAATATCTTGGAGCAACTTTTTGGCCTTCGTCTCTTTCAATGGCCATGCCAAGTTTCTCATGGTGACCTGCACTTTTCTTCTTCTCGAATCAGGGGCCCCTTGAGACTGGCTTTGGTCGGAGGCGATCAACTTGTCCAGCTGTTCGATGGCGCGATGACATTCTCCGACAGGCCCTGCATCTCCGTCTAAAGCTTCTCGCAGAGCCGAGTCTGGTTCTTCGAATTTGAGGAGAAACTCGACGTTGTGCAAGACTGCTCCTACTGACGAGGTTTCGACGAGGATTGTGCGTAGGCCTGATGGTGCATCCCGGACGTTCTCGGTGCAATGTTTGCAAATTGATACCACTTTATCCGCGATCTGAATAGTTGCGAAGACGCTCGCTACGAGGCCGAAGGATTCTGCCATCTTTTGGCCTTTGCCACGACTCGCGGCAGTGCTGGAGTGATCAAAAACAGCGACAATCCGCTTAGATACTCGAGAACAGGAATGGCGAAGATGCGATCAGGTTGTGGGCGGGGAGTTCTCGGCTTTTGATCCCCAAGGCCTTCGAAAGCATTTGGCAGAATGCCTCGGAGTATGCCCAAGGCAGACTGTGCCGCAATAAGGCAACTCCAGCCCAATCGTCCGGTCTTAGCTGATGGCGCGCCTCACAATGATCCATTACTTCCATCGCCGTAGGGTTTAGTGGTGTGTGAGGCCATATTGACCAATCGGATGCTTGTCGCTGGGAGAGGAATTGCATATGGCAGAATGTTCTGTAAAGTAGTCTATTTCTATCAGGTATCGAAACGTGCAAGTAACGCTAATCGCTCACAAATTGCTGGAAATTCTAGTCATGAAGTTGATCATCAGTTCATCCTCCTCCGGGATCAAGCCAAACTTGTCCGCGCTCCTCTCATTTTGGAACCCCTCATCGGGGCTCGCCCAGCTGTAGCCCTTCCACACGCCCAACTCGGGCCACATCTTCTGCTCCACAAGAGCCTTCAGCTTCTCATACCGTGCCGAGGCCTCGCCGCCAGCAGCAAGACCCTGCAGCACAAGCTTCCATGATTCGACAGTCTGCTCGAGCTCCGCGATGCTGGTGACGCCCATGACGCTGCCTCCGACGCGCTGGTCGCTGCCCTGACCCGGCAGCTGTACGCCGAGACCAGCTGCGGCGCCGACGCGGGCGTACTCTTCCATCGACCAGTGGAGAGCCACAGTCTCCAGGCGCTCGCCGGCTTCGCTGGCGATGGTCGAGAGCTCCTTGCACGCCGAGCGCAGGTCATCCGGCGCGGGGTGCCATGACGCGATGACGCCGGCCTTGCCCTCTGCCGTCTCCGTGCGCGCGGGGACGCCCGTGGATGTGAGGAGACCCATGCCGAGCATGCTGGCGTTCAGCACGACCTGCACGCCGGCGTTGCGGAACCGCCGGAGCGGGCTCTGCTCATCGGTGTGATCGGGTCCAGCGACAACCTCAGCGAGACCGAGTGTAGGGTTCTGGATGGTGAAGTGCCCGTAGCTCAAGATGGCATCGAGCGCCTCGCCCGTCTCAGCGAGGATCATCTCAGCGAGGCTGCAGAGAACGTGGACGGGGAAGCCACTGATACCGACATAGCGGATCTTGCCCTCATCACGGAGCTGCCTTAAGGTCTGCACGGCGGCGAGGACTTCTGCGGGGGAGACGAACTCGACGTCGTGCATGTACACGAGGTCGAGGTACGGCGTGTTGAGGCGGCTGAGGGAGCGGAGGACAGAGTAGCGCACGTACGCCGGCGAGTAATCAAACTCGTTACCGGCGATGCGGCCTGCCTTTGTGACCAGCACGTAGGACTCTCTGGGGATGTTGGTGGCTGCTGTGTGGGCGGCCAGGGCGTCGCCGAGGAGGACCTCTGAGGGGCCGTAGTACGGCGATGTGTCGAAGCCGTTGACTCCGAGCTCTAGTGCCCTTGAGACGATTTGCCTGTACGGCATCTGCAGCGGGTCCTTTACATGCTGGGTGTTGAATGTTGCTGTGCCCAGGAAGAGAGGTGGCAGGACGGAGGCGATGGAAGGCCGGGAGGCCGGGTTGAGGCTTGTTGTGGTAGCCATGACTCCTGGAGGATAGATGATATGAGAATGAGATGAGAGCTAGTGAGAATGGTTCGATATGCTCAGGGTGTAAAAGTCGGGAAGAGGGGCGGGAAAGAAGAGGGACTTGTCAGGAAACTGTCTAGCCTTAAGACGGGTGAGTGAGAAGAAAGGGCTGAGCCGTGAGGTGTTTGCTACTTGATATGAGAGGGTCACAACAGGACCGGTCCAAAAGTCTGGTCTAAAAAGCCCGCATGGGGGGGCTCGCCGCTTGCCAGGCTCCTGGACTAGGAACAATTCGTTATTAACCATAACTGATATGTGGGCATGGGAGACCGCTCTCCGTCCGCTTCTATTAGCGTACTCAGATTCCGCAAGCTCGGATTCTCCCAGGGCTAAGCCTAAGCCGCGTACGCTCAAAGGGTGCTCGACTCAGTACCGATACATAGGGTAAGGTATTAGAGTATCAACTCGTCAATACTTACGAAGCTGTGTTGCGTGGTGGAGTTTATGCGCGGTCCATCTTGGGCCAAGCCCTTTGGCGCAGGCCATTCTGCCAAGTGAATTGGACCGATTGCACGTGTCACCTCGTCTCAACTTGCCACAACTTGATAGATGGAGTGACAGCAGAACGACAGGTTGGGCAAAGCCGCAAAGGGAGAGAGAAGAGAGATCATGGATGGGAGACCCCCAAATGCAAGAATCCTTGCCAACTGCAATTTTTCTCCTACCGGGCCTCGCCGGCCGGCATAAGTGTGGCGGAACCCCCAGCATCCATGTTCATCTGAGACTTCCCGTTTCAAGCCACCCTCCTTGACTCGTCATCCACAAACAGATCCCCCCGATCCCTGGCGCCAGTCGTACGGTCTGGTTGCAGACCGCACCAGAAAGGCTGCTGCACAGAAACCCAGAAGATGCGGTGTGCTCCATTGCGGACGCTAAACTTGTTTTGTCATATAAACCGTCATTAGCCTCAAAATTTCCAAAACACACGGCTTTCAGGGTGCGTTGTTCAATTCACTCTCGGGCTTTCCCTCATAATCTTTGCCATCAAGAGTGGCGGGCGGCACTTAACAAAAGGACCCTCAACCTTGGGTCATCATCAGGGTCGTCTCTGTAGCTCGACTTTGCTTCTTCCGGGCCCGGTGTAATAGTTGTTAATTATCATCGTCGCAGAGAGCAGGCTCCGACACTCACAATGGCCGCCGTTGCGTCGCTGGATCCTCACATTCGCGGCATCATCGATGATGCCGCCGCCGATGGCATTCCGTTCCGGGCCAAATCGGCTCACTTCCACACCACATGGGCGCGCACCTTTTCGTCGCTGCCGGAGCTCTTCATTCAGCCTCAGTCACAGCAAGAGGTCGAGAAGGCAGTGAAGCTCGCGCGCCGTTGCAGGCGGCGCATCACCACGGTCGGCCATGCACACTCGCCTTCGGACCTGACGTGCACGAGTAACTGGCTGGTCAACCTCGATGGATTCAAGAAGGTGTTATCTGTCGATAGTAAGCACAGACCCTCACGTCACACTTCACTCCCTCACTCCCTCACTCATTCACTCACTCATCCGCGTAATCTCATGAGAACTATGTTAACGCAAACCGACAGAGGAGACTGGCCTCGTTGTCATGCAAGCCGGCATTCGGCTGTGGCAACTCACCGAGGAGCTGAACAAGCACGGCCTCTCATTCCCCGTGCTAGGCAGCGTCAACGAGCAGAGTATCGCCGGCGTCATCAGCACAGGAACACGCGGCAGCACCCTGAAATACGGTCTGCTCTCGGAGGCCATTTCCTCACTCAAGATCGTCCTCGCCAACGGCGAGACAGTCTCATGCTCGCCGGATGACAACCCGGACCTCTTCCGCGGCGCCACGCTGTCACTCGGCGCCCTCGGCATCATCACCGAGGTCAGCTTCCGCGCCGTGCCGGCCTTCAGCTTGCACTGGCAGCAGACGATCCAGGCCGACTACAAGATGCTTGACTCCTGGAAGCAGGACAACAAGCTGTGGACCCAGTCCGACTTCGTCCGGGTGTGGTGGCTGCCTTATACCAGGAGAGCTGTGGTCTGGAGGGCAGACATCGTCACAAAGGAAGATCTCGAGTCCGGAAAGGAGAAGAACCGAGATCCGCCAGTCGGCTACTACGATGGAGCCCTCGGTTATCACATATACCATAACCTCCTTTACCTATCGCGTTACATCCCTCGCATCCTGCCCTGGGTTGAATGGTAAGCTGAAGCACCCCTTCCCTTGATACACCTCATCCGACGTCGTCGACGGACTCAACGGACTAACTGACGCCCTACAGGTTCGTGTTCGGCATGCAATACGGCTTCAGTGATGGCTACACCTCATCAGCCATCCAGCCCATGGATAAGGCCCTGTGGATGAACTGCCTCTACAGCCAATTCGTCAACGAGTGGGCCATCCCGCTCCACCGCGGGCCCGAGGCCCTGATGCGTCTCGGATCCTGGCTCAACAAGCTCAAGCCGGGCGACCCCGACTACGTCGACCACGGCATCCCCTACTCCGCCGAGGGCCTCTACGTGCACTCTCCCGTCGAGGTCCGCGTCTGCGACGCCACCGTCCACACCAGCGCTGAGCAGCGCAACAGGCCCTTCCTCGACAGCACCGTCAAGGACGGTCCCACGCTCAACCTCAACGCGACCATGTACCGTCCATACGACCTCGACCCTCCCGGCCTGAAGCGCTGGATGCAGGGCTTCGAGTGGTTGATGCGTGACCTCGGCGGCAAGCCGCACTGGGCCAAGAACTTCAACGTCAAGAACGAGGAGTTTGCTGAGTGGTACGGTGACGATATGACCCAGTGGCGTCGCGTTCGTGATGAGGTTGATCCCGACGGACTGTTCGTCGGACCGTGGCACCGGCAGTTCGTGCTGGATCCCAACAGCGCTCCTCTCAAGTTTGAGGAGTTTGAGAAGACGAGGCATGATGCTGGCCGGGGTGTCACCGTATACGGCACTCGTCTGGAGATCGAAGATGCTGATGCTGATGTCAAGGCATGAGCTACCCTATCTTAGTTAGTATCTGTAGTGTCTGACTCTGTAAATTCCGGACCTGGTGAATGGCGTGGGTCGTGGAAAATTGGCATCTGGATCTTTCGTAGCATTGATTTACTTCCTACAACACGACCACATAGATTTCAAGCGAGACAATTTCCATCCACCGCCCAGATTGGCCGGAAGCATTTTACATCCAAAGTTAGATTGTAAACAGTTCTTATTCCCAATATTCGAATACGACGAAACGCGTAAATCATTGCCTCTTCCATTGCTGCCTCCCTTCCCAGCCAACAAATCTTTCTGGTCCCTGAATTTTGGAGCTTTCTCCTTTCTTGCGCAGTCGATAGCCCACCCCCCATCCACCCCCATGGGCATGCAGACGAGGGTAGGATGGGGGGTCCTTCTCCGTTGGTGCATCCGTCAAGATGCTACCTAGTCTGTGGTGTAGAGAAATGAAAGTCCGAAAATGCCAGATACGTGTAAAGACGGCACTTTCCACCGTAATGGTAGGTAGACCCCACAGTTGACCCCTCCCCTGTGTGATGCTCAGATCGTCGCCCTTTAATCTTGCTAAGCAAGAAAGACAAGGTACGGGTCCGTGTTCTCCTTGAGCGAGATCACCCAGTTCTGGGCACCCAGACCAGACTCCCAGTTCTAGAATTTCTTTGGGAAGGACAACAAAGTTAAGGAATTCTGGATACCCCTAAATCACATCATTCTTTTTTTTCGCTCGGGCTTTTCAAGGGGTGGGTGACAGGGCATGGTTCAAGTTTGGTTCGTCGGCCGCGGGACGCGGCGGGTGAGCGGCAATCAGCGAGTTTGATCTTCGCACAGAATTCAATGCCGCTCGTACGTTCGTCTCCTTCGCCGGTCGGCCAGGACGAGCGCAGAATTGTGTTCTTTGTATTGACGGTCGTCGTAAGGCTGCAGGCTCAACGTCGCATTGCGTCGCGATTGTGGATTCAAACTGCACTGTTGTGTTGCGCAATCGCGCATTATCTGAAGACCCCTTCGTCTTAGTTGGCAGGCTGGCTGCAGCAAGGGAACGCACCAACAGCGTAGTGCTCACGACTCACGAGTGCCCTCCTTATATCGCAAGTATCATCGGGACGTTGGCGAAGGACTCGGATCGCTGATACCGAATAAATTACTGCCAATGCTGTCTACATTGATAGATTGTCAATTTCATCCTTGTTTGATGGTCCTAAGCGCAGTGTATGAGAGAGAAAACAATATGAACATTCACTTGGGTTATATTAGTCGGAGAAATAAACGAAAAACTCAAAATGATTGAAAATCCAATCTTGCATGAAGATCCGGCCGGTGTTTGCCGGAGCCTCACATGTTTGTGCACACGCACTGGCAGGTCTGGACACCTCTGGAGTCTGGGATATCTACAATGTAGGGGCTCGTCGCAGCACCATGTCCCGTCCTGCACCCGGCTGGATATCCGATAGTGATATGGAAAGAAAGCGGCGAATCCGTTCGTCAAGAATGATGCTATCCCTTCCTCTGCGTTGCCGATAACAAACAGATTGCTGGGGGTTGAGTCCAGTCTGTCAAGTCTCTTCCCGAACGAGCGCGCGGCAAGCTCGAGCCACAGCCGGTGGGTAGGCCCCTTGGACTGGGAACATGACCTCTGAATTTGTTGTCCACAACAACATCCGCGATCTGAAGGGGGTGTCCTTGCTTGCTTGCGTGCTGTGGAACCTATTGCGTGAAACTGGCAACTGAGCCGCCTTTTGCCCAATGCCCGGTACCACATGTTCAATCATGCAGTTTGTGAGCCGCGGTGCAAGGTGAGAGAGTCAGAGAGGGCCATTGGCAGTGGCTTCTGGCTGTTCACCGCCGCGGCGCCGCGCCGCTGGCTGGCTGTGTTCCGTTCCCGCAAGCGCGCCCACTTCCCGACTCTCTGGATTCACCGAAGGGCTGAGCGCAAATCAAGGAAGAAATTTTCTACCAGAGTAGCACTCAGCCATTATAATTAAGGTTCTATGGT